CATTGAAACTTTTTTTCTCTTAACTTGAATGTATAGTATATTATAGAGTAACATGGCGGGTTCTATATTTATTGTATAATTTTGGATTACCTCTTTTCATGTATTTTAAACAAAAAGCAGGGCCTTATCTTTCAAATGGATAAGATATAAAACATTGTGTGATAATGCCATAAAATCTATGAAGCCCTACATTCCCCCAACCATAGTATTTTACATGCCAACGTTTTTTTGTTTGTTTGTTTGTTTTAAAAAAACCCAGTGCTTATGGATGAGGGTTTTTTTTTTAAAGATTATTTCAGGAAAACAAAACTTAAAAAGAAAAAATGAAGTACTATAAAATATGGACAAGTGTACCTGGGGGTGCTTTTTTAAGGGAAGTTCTTATATTGTGGATACTGTACAGTGAATCAGAGATAAGCATATTGTCTCTACTTTGTCAAAGTGTTCTTACTGGCCTTTGGAATTCAACAATCAGATAATATGTCATGTTCCCAATGTAAGAATTGTTGACGTGTCTATGCTTGAAGAGCCAATCTATATTTACTAGAATGGAGATACGCCAGATAATTTAAAAGATGATTGTAATATTTTTCCACTGCACAGTCTGAATGTAGATGAGGCATGCTTCAACTAAGCAAATCAGTCTTGAACCCCTCTGAAAATGTCACAATTTTTAAAACAAAATAAATGTTACAATGTGTATTTCAAATTTAAGAGCCTTTTTTCCCCCTTCCAATTTACAAATAAGAGCAGACCCAATACCCATTTAGAAGTTCAGAGTAAAAAGTTGACAGCAGTTTTTACAGTGCTTATGAGTTGGGAACAAGCATTGCAAAGTGGGTGATTGATCAAATGGTGTTTAGAATTAAGCCAAGCATTAAATGATGCACTTTGGAGCAAAATCTGAAACTTCATAGATACTCTGAAGGAGTCTAAACTGACTGTAATTAAGTGGGAAAAAGATACTGGGGTGATATAACTTAGTAAAGATGTGAACTCAGCAGTGGAAAAGGTGACATTGAGTAAGGACGTCTAATCCAGAAATATACCCAACTGATGGCACAAAAGGGATTTGTGCAAAAGCTATCCAAATTGCAGGTGCCATCTGTTACTCAAGGAGCAGAGAGTTCATACTGCGCACCAGCTATGTATGGGGAAGTGGAAACTCCCCCCCCCCCAAAAAAAACTTCCCATAAAAATGGAAAGTTCCCAGGCCAAGGGATCCTAACTTCCATAGCCAGTCTAATTCAGTTGAAGCTTATTCTAACCCTAACCCTGACAATGGTGAGGGCCAAGAAAGGAGAGGAAGGAGCACAGGAGCTCATAACCTATCACTATGAGAGGCCTTGCAATAGCCACAGCATGCAGACCAGACTTCCAAATGATCTCTCATAATTGCTGCGGTCACCAACATTGTTATCTGAGTGTGTAAGTTCTACAGAACACCAGGAGCAAGCATGCCCAACTTACCCCCATCACTGATGTAAAAATGGACCCAGCCAGATACAGGTCCTCGACTTAACAGTTCATTCAGTGACTGTCACTGGAAAAAAATGACTTATGGCCGTTTTTCATACGACCATGGCAACATCCCCAGGGTCACATGATCAGAATTCAGATACTTGACAACTGACTCACATTTATGATGGTTGCAGTGTCCAGGAGTCATGTGATCACCTTTTGCGATCTGACAAGCAAAGCCAGTTGTTTCACGGAACAACTGTGTTACAAAACAACCTCAGGGATTCACTTAACAACTGTGACAAGTCATAAAATGAGGCAAAACTCAATAAATGTTTCACTTAGCAACATAAATTTTGGGCTCAATTGTGGTCATACGTCAAGGACTACCTGTACTATATAACTCACCAACATGCAGAGGTGAACCATAGTCAGATCCATTACCACTGCAAAGATCCCAGAGGCCTCTGGCAACTGAGAAACAACATGCTGGACTAAGATTGACCTTGGCTTGGTCCACCTGGTCTATTGTTACATTCTTAGCTCTTTCTCTACCCTTGCAAAGGAGAGATGGTTTGAAGGTCATCTCCCAGGGATCCGATATTGTATCTTAAACCTTCAACGGGTTTAATTAAGCTAGTTATAGCAAGATGCAAGCAAATTTAATAAAAATAATAAACTACTAATATTGTGTGTTGTTTAAAAATAAATTTATGTCTAAATTGTAACGAATACCTTGAAGTTTTAGGAAACGTGAGAAGATTCTGCCTATTATAAATACGAATGGATCAGGAGCAATTCTATTTGCTTCTATCTTAAATCACAGCAACCACCCAAATAAAGGAAAAATAAATTAATAGCAATGCAACAAAGCAAATTGCCAAGCAGTAGAGACTTCTTCAAGCAAGATTAGCAAAAATGCTTCTATAATGGCATTTCTTACAGTGACATTTGATTCCTGTCACAAAGCTAAGAGGAAAAAAAAATGACTCACGAATAAGTTATACCTGAAAGAAATAGAAATATTCTATTTGTCATTTGCTTATGACATTCACAGTTTCATGCAATATTTGGCAATATTTGACAGTGAACAAAATTAGATCTTTGATTGACCGGTCAATTGAGAATATTTGACTATTGAAGTGACTTGCCAGGTCAGTGAAAATTTCAGTAAGGTCATATTCAGTTAATTAGTATCTAACAGTGAAATTGCAATGAAGAGTTGGCCCACTGAAAATAATCTGTATTTATGACTATGTGCAACAAGCTGGACCCAGTTTAATTTAGTAAGCATTTATTTTCATAATTTGCTCCGCTGCATTCAGTACAGCTAAAATATGAATTAATGATTTTATTACATTTATAAATTAACCCTCATTCATCAAGTTCCAGGTTAATGAACTTATAAGGCCAAGGAACAGGAACTAATGTGACATAATGTAAGCTGAGAGTGGAATTAGAATACAATAAATCATTAAAGCATTCTTCAGTTATCTTTAGCATTTATAAGGGCTGCCTAATAACCTTGTTCTCATAAAGAATAATAAAAATAAAATAATAGAAAGCAAGAAATTGCAGCAGAAATAATACATTTTTATTAAATTATTTTTCTTAGCATAAAATACAAAAAGAAATAAATAGAAATAAAGACAATGGAAAAAAGAGGGGAAAAGAATAAAGGCGATAAAATGAGGGAAGAGGATAAAAGAAAGAAACCAAAAGCAGCAACTTCTGACATTTTTGGTGCAATAAGATACGTAATAAAGTTATAGTATCAATTTTTTAGTTTTTTGTTTTGTTATAATCATTAATACCGGGAGAAATATAGTAGTTTCACCTCATGTCTAAAACTATATATTACAACAGGTAACTAGCGGCTTTGTTATAAATATCAAAAGTTGTTAAGAAGGTGTCAAATGAATCTCACTGGAATGCTACCACCAAAATGATTTTCCCCATCAGCCATCCTCCTCAGATTACTTAGTGGTCAAATAGTAGTCCAATTGAGTTGAGATGGTTAAAGCAGGACTAGGACTAATTCTGTTCTTACATAATTCTTCAATCAATCTCACTCACAGACCAGAATTAAAAAAGTAAAACATTGAAATAAAACAGAACAGAACAGAACAGAGATAACAGTATATTACAGATAGTGGTGAGTTGTAAGACAGATGGCCAACCTCTGCCTAATTTTACAGATAGCAGAATGTAACTACATTCAAAGAAAACGTATAACGCTGATCCAATAGTAAAAACTGCACACAAAAAAGATCAGAATTTCCTGGATATTGCATCAAGTGAAAAGTTATGAGTCTATGAATCTTTACAGAGGTACAGTATAACAAGTCATGTTCTAAGGATTCAGTGGCCCCTTGTGCACGGGGTGGGGTGGGGGGCAGAATCTCAGCTCATATGGGACTTTTTTGTATCTGCCCTCCAGAATTGCTGTGATGAGAGCATCACTACATGCTAGAGTTAGTGCCCTTTCAAAATATAGAAACAGTTACATAATAATATACCTTGTTTCTGATTTATAGGGGCTACATAAATTTTGGCTTAATTTCAAGAACCTCTTATAACTGACGTGTAGATGTATACAGTGAGAATGATTAATCAGTGAAACAACTTGTCACCGGAAGTTCTGGATGCTTCATTATCGCAGGTTTTTCAAAAGACATTGGGCAGCCATTTGTTCATAATGTACAGGAGTTGGACTAGAAGGCTTCCAAGATCCTTTTCAACTCTGTTATTCTGCATTCTGCTATCTTTCCTTTTCTTAATGGTCTCCAGGATAAGGAAGAAGAGTATTTTTTTTTTAGAAAGGGATATCATAAAATGTGACAGAAAAGAATGGGGCTTCACTTTATTCTGACCTTACTGTAATCTCTGCCCATAAGTGCCTTAAAACAACTCATTCATAAAAGAGAGAAAAAAAATCTTATACCTGTTCTAAACACTTAAAAACTGAGTCACTTATAAACAGATCTCTTATATAGAATCTAATCTGGACATATTATAAAATAGAATAAAAAGCAAAGAATTCTGCTTAGTAACAATGAGCCTGATTTTTGCTTTCCTAAGGTGACTTGTTTTAAGAAGAACAGAAGGTTCTTATTGATCCATAGGTCAGCCTGAACCCAGCCTTCTGGAAATTTCTGGCTCATAGTCATTTCCATTTTAACCAGGCATTTACCTTGGAAGCTAGAGTATTTGCTGATCATTGCTGATATTTTCACTTTCAAATAAATTCTTTGGCCATTGTGACCTGCATCACAGGACTATGTAACCTTGGCAAGTAGTGTTGCCAGAATGTAAAAATAATTTTGAAAAATATATTGTGAATTAATATATTTTAATTTTTAGTCTTATGAATACTTATTTATCCTTCCCAGATCTTTATATGACTTGTCAGTATTTGCTTCTGGGTGTTTTTTAGAATGGTTGCCAAGATTTCAACAAAATGTGAAAAAAAATTAAATATATTAAATAATATTTTTTTTTCATTTATCATACATTAAAGGACAATTTTGGGGGAAATAGTCAAAGTTTCTGGATCTCAGGTTTGATTTGATTTAAATCCTATCACAGTTCCATAATTTCAAAACTTTCATGATTTTTACCCATTACCCTGTAGGCTGAGCCTGATGGAGGGGTCAAATGCATCATCATTCATGAGTCCCTTTGCACCAGCAAAAAGTTTAACACCACTCCACCTTGAATTCCTACTATTGTTATCTCCCACTAATTTCCCTTGGCTGCTAATAGTTCAGATTCATGTCAAGTATCAGGAAAATCAGGAGATCCAGACAGTTCAAATGGGTATAAAGTTATTGTAAGTTTGAGCTTTTACAAGAATCTGAACTACTAGCAGACAAGGGAAATTAGTGGGAGATAAGAGTAGGAGGAATTCAAGGTGGGCTGGACTTAGATCTCTTGTGAGCATGAAGGGACTCAAGACCCCTTCCTCAGGCTCAGCACAGTCATTTCCTACATGCCCCCTTTCTTTCTTTTCTTTTGGATCCTTTAGTTATCTGACTGACTTCTTCAGCCATCTCTCCCCTCCTTTCAGCCTCTCTCAGTAACATGCGGCATTGAAAATGAAGAAGAAGGGCCCAGTATAACAACTCTTAATCCTGGTTTTTTCTAGTTGTCTGAAAGTTACCAAATGAAGGATAACAACAACAACATCCTTCCAGAATATCTGTATATCACGATCTTCTTTTCTCTCTCTCCTTTACTAATTTAAGATCTAATAGATCCCTTTTCCAGTGCTAAATATTCCAGGCTCTCAGTGTTTTTTTTTAATGGTTGGCTGAGTTTTTAGTTTGATAACTTGGAATTCAATTTCAAAAGTTGTCTGTATTTTGATGCTATTAACATATGATCATGACATCTAGGAATTAACAGTAATGAATACAAAAGTATTGTGAGAGTGTCTTTTGTGATCTTACACGTAGATGCAATTAATTAATAGGTTAGATGCAATGAATTACTGTGGAACTGGGAAATCCCTATCACGATAACATTATCATACCACTGTTGGATCAGATTGTTGGATCTTTCTAAAAATGTAATTTTAAGAGCAAATACAATGACTCAGTTACAGACAAATAAATGATTTTTAAAAAAACATTTAGGTTCAGAAAGTAGGCCTAAAGGGGTGGCAGTGTGGTGCCATGTGGCTACAGTTCTTTAAGTGACAAGTTGACTGCACATGCATGAACAGATGCATTGCAGATACAGGACTCATAGTGATGCTTTTTATCAATAGTGAGGTCCAGCATGAATGAACGTAGATTTGATTTATCCTAGCAGTGCTGTTGTAGCTGAAAAATGTTACTGCAGCTGGTGTTTCTCTGGGTGTTTCTCACTGGAATTTCCAAAATTAAGCCTTTGAGGATAGGCAATCTTGTCTGCAGATCTCATGGCCCCGCTGCCTATTCTGGAGAGGTTCCTTAGCTACATTACAGGTGACAAAATGTTTCCCACTACTGTAGTGAAATTCAGCAAAGGAAAATTCTGCTAACTTTAGGGAATCTACTGTATTGTTTCACTATCTTCCTCTTCACAGGTAGTCCTTGACTTACAACCATTTGTTTAGTGACTATTCAAAATTAAAACAGCACTGGAAAAGTGACTTATGATCCTCTTTCACCCATAAATCCACTGCAGCATCCCCATGGTCACATGATAAACATTTGGGCTCTTGGCAACTGCTTCATATTTTTGATGACTACAGTATCCCTGGGTCATGGGATTATCTTTTGCAAGATAATCCGACAGTCCGACAAGCAAATCCAATGGGGAAGCCCAGATTCACTTTACAACTGTTACTAACTTAACAACTGCAGTGATTCATTGAACTAATGTGGCAAGAAAGGCCATAAAGTGAAGCAAAACTCACTTCACAATTGTCTTAGCAACAGAAATTTTTGGGCTCCATTTTGGTTATAAGTTGAGGACTACCTGTATAGGATTTCTCTATATGTATACACTAGATACATGGGACTTACTCCAGAGAAAGGACATATAGGATTGCACTGTCCTGTACAAGAAAAAAACCTCATACATCAACTAACCTTATAGATGTTATGCAAGATACCAGTATATTTTCCCCACAATGATCTGTTAAGTAAATATTTGCATCACACATTGGTCAAAATAACCCAGGCAAAGTTTTCATTCCCTAAAATACTGCCCAAATGGCCATCAGCCAGAAGCAAAAAATGGAAATAAACCCTCTTTAAAAAATATTTTTATGACATATTTGATGACATTCAAAAATAACATACCAATATATGTATGGTGAACTTTAAATATGGGCATATTTATGGGAAAAGAGAGAAAAAAAGGATTCTTTTCTCTCCAGGATTAAAAGTAGGATCAGTTCAGTAGTCCAAAAAAAAAAAAAAAAGTTTGTTGAAACTGATTAAAAAATGTGCAATCAGCAAAATCTTGGTTGACACAGATCACATGATGCTTCTCATCTCTCTATAAAATACCCAAGAATGGTGAGAGTTGCCATTCACCTTCACCATGAAGGGAATCGTCATAATTCTTCTAGTGGCCCTTGTGGGTAAGTATGCTTTTCTTTTTGCTATGTCTCCATTGTATCATTTTGCGTAGTTTAGTCAAATATATATATTTAAACTAAAAGATGATTCCATCGTACTATGTCCATATTGTAATCGCTTGAATTTCTTTCCTCAGCTGCCGAGAAGTTCCCAGCCCGTAAGTTTAATACCATGCATGTTTTTTGAACCAACATTTTTTCCACCATTGAAAAAGGGGTGATGTACTAGCTTTTGCAGATAAGTCGCAAGTCTGCTAGTGCTTGCTATTAAATCTTACAAAGAGTAGGACTATTATCTTGTCACATTAGCAAAATAGCAATAATCCTTCTGCAAGATATTTCTCTAACATTGTGAGCCACTAGAATAGTATATTAAATATAATCAATAATCAGTAAGTCAAAAGAGAAGTTATATTAACATCTGATAAATATCATGGTATATGTATGGGGGAGAGTTTTGGGGAAAAAAATTTAAAAAAAAAGAAGAGAAGTTATGTGCTTTGATCAATTTGAATGAATAGTTGTAGCCTTATATACAATGTTATAATCAAGTGCAGTACAAATATAGAATTAACACTAGAAAAAAAATAAAACATTTTCATTAACATAATATAAAATAAAACCTTTAGAAGGTACATGCTAAATAAAAATAACTTCTATACATTTATAATGACTTGCATGTCATTCAATTGTCAGTTCATATGTCAAAACCATTAGCTAGTTTTGTTCCATGTTCTTAGACAAGAATTTAAGAAGACTCAAGCACACAGAAGTATGGTCTTTATTTTTTTAAATTTATTTTTTATTAAAAAATAAATAAAAAGACAATTTTTTTGAAGAAACAAAGAAAGAAACAAAACAATATTAGTTTCCCATCCCTTGAGAAACATGACTAAAGAATTTTAAACTACTATGCTAGTAATTCTATTTGCAAGTTATTAACCTGTCATCTATATACTATATTAATGACAAAATAGTTAACCGGAAAAACAACGATAAAAAAGATAATATCCAATAAAAATGTAAATCAAATAAACTGTCCAGGAACACACTGTGATTTTCCTTATGAAAAAGCAGGAATTAATGAAAACAGCCAGATACACAAACAGCAAAAAGCAAAAAGAACAGATAAAACACAGCAGTGGGTTGAATAAATCAGCATTCAACCAGCCAGTTAACTTTTAAAGATAAAAAATAAAGCAAAACAAAAACTTCAAAAAGTGCAGTTAAAAAACAGAGAAAATAGATGTTACGAAGAAAAGGTGCATGAAAGACCAGTGACTTCCTGGATGTTTCCTCCTGGATGGATCCATGGCCATCCAAAACTCACGTTGGGTCATTCCTAAGTGCCCCCATTTAAATCCAGGGAGCAATGCTGCCAAGGAACCAGTTTTGGCAGCAATATCAGCAGATTGTCGGCAGGAGAGAAAAAAATCTTCCCTACCAGTCAGCAGCCATCTTGGGGAGGAAGTGTGCTCTTTATTTGCAATTCTGCTAATTAAAAAAACCTGCCTGATTATCTTATACTTCAATATAATTATTTAGCAAATTATACAATTAAAACATGTCAGTCTGATTATTATTATTATTTATTAAAGGCAATGGCTGTAAATGGAACATTTTAGTAGTCTTTGTGGAAACTGGTCAGCCTTGGAGAACTCTGGTGGGATTAACAACTTTTTATCATTAACCAGCATACAATATAGGATTTTTTTTTGCAAATATATTTTACATATAAAACATATGCTATGCTGTTAAAACTAACATTATAACGTGTTCATTTTCTTTCTACCAGGGAACCAGAAGTCCCAAGCAAGTAAGCTGAACAATTACAACAAGTCTAAGCTCTTGTTGAAATGACATTAAACAAAACTGTTAATTAATCAGTTGATACTCATTTCAGGACCATCACATTTAAATGCAAAGCATTATATAATTACTTTTTTGCTTGCTAAGGGAAGCATGAAACAGATGTGATTTAGTATGCAACAGTTCACTATTTAAAGGAAACAATGATACATCAAAACAAATGAGAACCCTGAAAATTTAAAATAGCCTCCCTGGTTTTCAAGTAATTTAGTTAATTTAGTAATAAGTCTGGCTAATGATTTAGCCTTTACAGTATGTAAGCAACGGATCAGCATTTGTAGGAGATGACTAGGATGAGCCTGAGAGAGGGATAAAACATATCATCAGTCTTGAATCCCTTCATACTCACAAGAGATCTAAGTCCAGCTCACCTTAAATTCCATTGACTCTTATCTACTGCTAATATGCTTTGACTGTTAGTAGTTCAGATTCTTGTAGAGAGCTTAAGCTTGCAATAAACCTATATATGCATTTGAACTGCCTAGATTCCTGATTTTCTGCACTTGGTGACACTGTTACTAAAGTATTTTCCTGGTACAAATATGAATATACTGCCCAGAATGTGGTTTATGTAATCACTCTTAAAACCTAATAGCTGGTGGTGAGGTACAACAAAAACAGAGACTGTGTGGAGCACTAAAAAAAGATAAGGATGGTATCAAAAGACTGCCATGATTTGCAGAGAGACCCATTCCTGCCAAAGGGAAAATGCCACACAACTTGTGTAGGAGAGGGAAAGATAAGACATAGTCAGACAACTTGACATTTGGATGACAAAAAAATTGGAAACAGTGGGAGGTAAAATATCCTGAAAGGGGGGGGGGGGTCCCTAGGTGACTGGAATTTTGAACAGACCAGTAGAACTATGTTGTAATTCCCACTTGTATATTTTTTACAATAAAAGTAGTTCAGAATGTTATTATATTCACTAAAAATTGCATTTGTGTCCCACAGAAACCCAGAATCCTGAACTTGGTAAGTCTAATGATAATAAGACAACTCATCAGCATACTTGTGTTAGAAGATGATCATATAATAAAACATAACATTGCAATTCTCATTTGGATATTTTAAATAAGATGTATATTTTATTGTTTTATTCTACTATTGTACTCAACAATTTTCCTTTTTTTTAATCTAGGAACTGAAAATGTTGACATCAGTAAGTATATTTGTATTTATATTTAAAACAGCATATTAAAATGACATTTTGGCTGTCACTGCAGGGTAAAGGAAAGAGCATTAGCTGACTTGGGTAAGACACATGAGTTGTAAAAAAAGAAATTCTTCATTTAAATCTTGCTTAGTGGTCAAAATTATATAATATTGATCTATATTTTGGGGTTCTTTTTTTAAAAAAAATACAGTTAAGTGATTATTCAATGCACAAAATTAATAGCAACCTGCTCAAATGGAATACATTCTTTTTGTTCCCTTTTGTAATTTGCACAGCAAATCATAAAGAGGCCCCAAATTGGCATATATAAACAGTAAGGCTTAATGAAAATATCCTACAATTGTCCCATTAGTGTTAGTTTAATAATCATGGAATTTACTCAGTTAAAACCTGTAGCCTAATATAAATGTCTTCTTTATTGAACACAGCATAAATGTTTGTTTCTATTTCTAGAACTAGAATTTCCTGCTGGAAAAACATTGATATACAATTACACTGTCATATTTGAAAGTGGAGTTGAAGACCAAAGTTATGGAAAGGCCCTTCTAAGGCTAGCAACTGATGCAGTGATCACACCAGGTCAATCAGAGCATATGATTCAGGTAAGCTTTTTCTCTAAGGATAAAGTTCCTTTCAGTCACCCTTAAGCCCATTCAGTTGAAGGGAAACTATGCTGTACATTCATGCAAGAAATATTCACATATATGGACCACAGATTGAGACAAAGAGCTAAGCTTTGTATCACAAAATGCAAAGAGATTGCCAGCTTTGTTTTGGCTTCTCAAAGTAAAATAGGCTTCATATTGAAAAGGTGCAAATAACTCCATAGCAAGCAGATAAAACAGACACCATAGAGAGAAGAATGTTTACTTGATACTGTACAGTAATGTACATTCATTCTTAGGCCTAACATTTTCTGTACAATAGACTAAGGGAAAAATGATACTTAAGCTCCAATACTTTATTTGTCTGCAGTTAAAAAAAAATCAAGCAATCTTAAACTATTCATTCATAAGTACATTCTACTCCTAACAAGAACAAGTGTGATTATAAAACTGAGACATAATGGAATTTTAAATTTGTGTTCCACAAACTAAAATGTAGTTAGCTGCTGAACTAGGATGGACCTGGTGTTACTTCTGTGGGTGTTGGTCCTCTGGGTCTTTATGCAGTGGGAAATATTGCAGAATAACCGCAATACTAAAGCTGAAGCTAGGGAGCAAGCAGCTTCCTGTGGCCTGGAATTTTTGTATGTCTTGTCTCCTGCTCTTCTTCCCACTGGGGTAGAGATGACCTGGGGACATGACACCACTTCGCTAGCCTTTTGAAAATAGATCTAGGTGATTTTGCAGCTCTTCCTCCCAGTGAATGATAATTTTCTTTTCCACATTGCAAAAACGAGTGCCATATGAAATCACGATAGGTGTGAGATGCTGATTGATGGACAATTATACTCCCTTATTGGTCAATTGGAGGAAATACTCGTCAGTACATCAGTATTTTCCCATGGCATCATGAGAACAGTAGGGATGAGGTCAATTGTAAATCAGATAAGAGGCTCTGCTGGTTTACATCACTATGACAATTAATTATTAACGGGAACAGGCTTTTTACCGTTGAATGTTGCTGTGATTGGCTAGTGCAGAAATCGTCTTTCTTTTTTTAAAAAGCGGGGAGAATAGCAGCTCAGTAAAATAATATTAGTGCATTTTTTTATTTGCTTCCTATTTGTATTTAAAATACATTTTGTAATGGGGAAAAAAAGCACTATCCCTTCCAAATGAACATTTTTTAATCTCTCTTACTGGTACCTACAAAACTTAACAATTGCTTCTTTTCATGCTTTCCACCCTCCATTTTGTTTTTAGTTTAGGAATATGAGAATACAAGATGCTGTTGGATTCCACCCAAGAAGTTCCTTGTCAGACCCACGAAGGGAATATAAACAGCTCCTTGACTGTCAGAAGTTTATAGTCTATGTCACCTACAATGGGAGATTTGGATCCATCCGTATATCAAAGAATGCAGATCCACTTTGCAGGAACGTTTTCAAAGGCTTCATGTACTTGTTCGTTGTCACACCACGGTCCCCGAGAGAGTATGAAGTACTGGAGGTTAGGCTTCTTTTCATATTTTTTTCATCTTTCCAGGCTTTACTTTACTGCAGTAGAATACCTCCTTTCTTCACAATTTACATTAGGCTAAAAAACATCTGTGGCATATTGTCTAAAGTTGACAGCGTTTTGAATCTATTAACATATGAAGAATTGAATGTCTCCTACCTTCCTGACCAATGTGATTTCAAAGCATATTGGACTGCTCTTTTAATTTTCTACTTTCCTTACCTTTTTTTCTGAATAGGGAAATAGTGACTTCTAGATGGTAGGATTTGAACCAATCGGTTTAGGTATCAATTGCTATTCTCCCTAAAATATGTGGCTATTCATGCCCAAAGGCTTCTTTTCTATTTCCTGCTAGCTTTTGAAAAATGTCAGTAAATGAATAGAATGTAAAAGAACAGATAAAGGAGGGAAAAATGATGCCTCTACGGTGTAGCCATTTTTAATGCACCTACTTTTATTTAAACCTGCTGCAAATCTCTTCCTTTGACTCTCATTGGGAATGTGAGTTTCCATGTTCTCGTACAAACTGAGTTTCTCAATATTGACAGGAAGGACTTGAAGGCGAATGCAACACCAGATATGTTCTCTATGAGGAGAAAAAGAATGACGGCTACTTGTTTCACAAATTCAGGGACCTGAACAACTGCAAACAAAAAGTTATGCTGAATGTTGGAATCCCCTACCTCCAGCTTTTCCAGCCTCTCAACTGCTTACAAGTAAGAGGGCTCTATAGTTTCTCTTAGCTTTAATGGAGGGCTTTCCTTCTCCAAACTACAAATATGAGATCCTGAACTGGGATACGAGGGGAGGTGAGTCCCCCATTTTTCCTAGGTTACAGTTCTGATCTGGACCTGGACTCATGAACTATGTCTCTTTTTGTTGTTTAGAGAGAGAAATTTGTTCAAGGTGCGTCTGCCATAGTCACCAAAGTGAAGCGTGACCGTAACGGAGATCTGATCGCTCAAGCCAAGGCTGAACAAATATATGACTTTCCTTTAGACGGAGAAGGTAGTACTGGATATATGAAAGCTGAGTAAGTAGCAACATCAAAAAAACCATTTTACAGTATGTTCAGTCTTCTTTGCCTTTTAGTCCAGGGTCTGCAACCTTGACAACTTTAAGACTTGTGGACTTCAGCTCCCAGAATTCCTCAGCCAGCATAGGCTGCAGACCCCTGTTTTAGTCCACCTTCTCCATGCATTGAAAGGCATTTCTAAGTTTAGAATGGACCTTCAATAGCTCTATGCTTCTCCATTCTGTACTAAACTCCAGTAATCTACCAGCAAATCCAGGGCTGCATGGAAATGGAAACCAATCCAGCAAATATACCTTGGCCTATGCCACTTTTCATTTTCAGAACAAAAGAAGAAGAACTTCATTTTTATGGCCTTAAATTCGAGGAAGGATAACATTAGTTCTCAAGGACTTTGCCAACGACTATATTTGTTTAATTGACAATGGCAAAAATATCTTAGGTGTGATAATACTGATCATAACCTGGCAATTAATCTGATTTGCAGAAAAACCTCACAAAAGCCACAATTTCCTATGGAATCTAATCCATTAGCCTTACATTTAGGGATGAACGCTACAATGTTGGGAATTCAAATGACAAACTTTTAGAAAATGGCAAATAGAAATGGCTTGAATATGTTTCTTTTATCCAATGTGAGGACAAGTCCAAGTCTTTGAACAGCAGTGCATTTTTGTTGGCTTATCTCTTATCTCTAGTTACCTTCTTCTGATTTTCTGGAACAATCCTGCAGTGTTTCAAATGAGTGAGCCCGCATTTCTTATGATTTAGTCATAAATGTGGGTGTGTTTTATTTTCTTCCAGGCAATTGTTGACCTTGAGAGAAGTGAGACCTGAGCAAGGACAGCAGCAGCAGCAGCAACAACAACAGCAGCAGCAGCAGCAGCAGCAGCAGCAGCAGCAGCAGCAGCAGCAGCAGCAGCAGCAGCAGCAGCAGCAGCAGCAAGGAGAGCTTGAACCAATCACTATTCGTTATGAGATTCCCAAAACTCTGTTTTTGCCTGTGTTGGATAATCTCAACAGAGATCCTGTACAACAGGTAGAAAAATATTTGAAATAGCAAACAATTTAACATTTTCTAAACCAAACAGAAAACACCACGATCTTGGCAGTTGGAATGAATACATGCTCTTTTTGATTTTTCCTTGGACAGGCTGAGGAACTCTTGCAAGACTCAGTGCATTGGCAATTCCAGGATAAAATAGTTTCCACCAAGATTATAGTGTTGGTCCGACTCATACAACGTGTATCATATAACGATCTGAATACTCTCTACAATAAGTTTTCAAGACTTCCTGTTGCTAGGTATGTTGGCTGACTTGCATATTGCATACTAGCTTTTACTTTAATCTCCTGAAACCTCAAATCTTGTTCTTCCAGAGGAATTATATTAAGATTCATGGAAAAATCAACCAGAAACCATTTCACCATTAGTGGAGAATTCATGATATTTTAAAGAATGTGTTCTTCTATTAATTGCAGAAGAGTCCTATTGATTTCATGTGGCCATGCGGGTAATTTGATCGCAATGAAGTTCATCAAGGACAAAGTAGTCAGTGGAGAACTGACATATTATGATATGATTTGGCTTCTTCCCACAACCTTCCATTTTGCCAACCCTGATATTACCAGAGTGGAGGAAACTGCTAGAATGACAGCAGTGAGTATATGTTACATCATTGTTTTTATGACAGTATAAAATGTTTTTCAAAATCTACATAGGATGCTTTATGACCCTAGATTATAATGTTCTCCTAAACAATAAGAACAATTTTGTTTTCTTCCCAACAGGAAATACTTGCCAAAATCCCTGACAAAGCATCTATCCTTGGAAAAATGGTTTATCTGGCATATGGGAGTATGGTGAACAAGCAATGTTCCACTTCTCGAACTTGTCATCCTAAATTGCTTGAGGTATGGAGCTAATTCTATCTATAGATCTAGATCTATATTATAGCTATTGCCAATGCAGCTCTAGAGCTAGATCTTGATATATATAGATATTGAAACAAAAGAACACATGTTTTTAGAGTACCCATGCATCCTGGCAGAAAGCAACAGACTATTTGGATACAGAGGTTAAAATACATGCATATGAGTGCACAGACTCATAACCTGTTTGCTTATTTCTTTTATTTATTCTTTATAGCCTCTCCACAACCTCCTAGTTGAGGCAGTTCGGGAAAAAGAAGAAAACAAGATTGTATTAGCTCTGAAAGCTATTGCCAATGCAGGTCAGATCACCAGCCTGAAACAAGTGAAACTTCTGTGTGAGTCTGCTAAATATCCTGAATACATCCAGGTCACTGCAATTCAGACCCTGGCGCAAATCAGCCGGCAGGATCCTACAAAGGTAAGTGGCAGAAGACATGTCTTTTTAAGAGTAGGTAAAAACCATAAATCTAATGGCCTTGATTTGCTTTCAGGTAATTGCAAAACTTTGTAACCCAGCTGAATGTTTGAGCTTCTGTCAAATGATTGCTGAAATCACATTGCAGAAGAATCTTTACAGCAATTTCTGGAATTGGTGGTAGCTTAAATGGGATCCATAGATAGAAAAAAGGAGAGAAAGTAGTTAGTCACTGTATACCAAAGAAAAGCAGACCACAAAGGAATTCCCCAGTCAAAGGCTCAACCACAACAGAATCATAGGAGCCATATTTGGGGTTATTTGGCCATCCTATAAGTCAAGAAAGCACATTTTTACAAAACTCATTAGCAATATTCCCACTGATTGTTTTTATGTTTATTAGCTGAACTCCAAATTCATTTGTTTCTTCTTTCCTCTAGGTTCAAGGTTTTCTCCTTCAGATCTTTATGGATGTTTCACGTTGTGAGCCTGTCCGAATAATGGCTTCCATTGTCCTCCTAGACAGTGCCCCTCCTCTGCCTATAGTAATAGCCATGGCCAACGCAATGCTCTATGAGGAGAATGTGCATATTGTCAGTTTTGTCTACTCTCACTTCAAGTCCATAACAAAGACCTTGGACCCCATGTATTACACCTTGTAAGTAGAGAGACACTTAGACTAGGTATTATATTAGATATAGATATATTTTATCTATTATAGACCAATGTTTTTCTTATAATAGCTTATGGGACGACTTAATTTTTAGCAGCAGCCACAGTTTGCATTCGAGAGATTTATTTCTGACATAAGCAAAAAGTAAGGGAAAAGTAAGCATGGATAAAGGACATTTCACCTCTATTCACCTCTGAGTAGAATATATTCTTTCTTTTTTCTTCTAAAATATTTAAATGTATGTTTTTATTAACACAGGTCATTTGTTCACTATGTAATTGTATAATGAAACAGAATATACATTATATACAATATATATATATATATATATATATATATATATATATATATATATATATATCCAGATCAAGATGATGAACACAACCATGCCACTGAAGCCTCACACCTTTTTGATATGCATCATGACATAGGTAACAAGAGCTGGCCTTCAGTGGCATGGTGGCCATCTTGGGTCCCTCCCTCTGGACAGCTCTTTGACAAGGACTGAGGTAGTCCTACAGATTTGAGGGTATTTTGTTGACCTTTAATTTTTTTTATGTGTGATAGTTTAGAAACAAGGCTCGATGGACTGACTTTTTCCATTATAATATCAGTAATGTCTCAGCCCCACTTCATTTCCGAAGGAGGCGGCAGATGAAATCCTTTCATTTGGATGGTACCTGCTCACAAGTCCATCAGGTCACTCCAGGAGTAAAGGGAATCTGCAGTAATGAAAGCTGCCGTGAATCTATATTTCAGCTGATTAGAGAAAAAGTCTTGTTGGATTGTTCTCATCATACAGTTTGGGAAGTTTGTTAAGCCTGTAGAAGGCTGCAAGATTGTTAAGCTGTAACCCTACACACAACTTTTCAGAGGATACAGGATGTTAGCTGCATTGCATAGCATCTAGTGCTGCCTGTTTTTGAGTCAGTGTATAGAATATTGCCCCAGTTAATAGAACCTAATATCAACAGTGTCCTCTTTTTTCATTTAGGGCTTCTTATTGCTCTATGGCTCTCAGAATTCTGAGCCCCAGATTTGATGAACTGACCTCTCCTTTCAACAAGGCTCTGTCTTTCATCTTTTACAACTGTGAGTAGCTGTTAATTATTTATGCGACAAGTCAGAATATTTGGAGTAGGCTCACCTGCTCCTTTGCTCAAGTGATTCATTATGTTCCAAGTGAAAAGGAATCACCTTATTGCAGGGATCTTCAAACCTGGCCTTTTTATGACTTGTGGACTTCAACTCCCAGAATTCCTCAGCCAGGTATGCTGGGAGTGAAGTCCACAAGTCATAAAAGGGCCAAGTTTGAAGACCCCTGCCTCATTGTGTTCATTTAGTTTCCTGGACAGTAGTCCTGATGTTCAAATTCTATACTGTGTCCTATTTCTTGTATTTTATAAACTCAAAAGTGTAAGAAGGATTATTTGTGTATAAATTGATCCATTAAGGCAGAATCAGACCAAATCACTGACTAGAACTGTTACAGTGATTTACATTGTAATGACTACTTAAACTTTCCCCAGTTTATAATGCCTGAGGATATTTTTGAAAATGCATCCCTTCCCTGCTTTGTGGTTTTTCTAACCATTAATTTTGCAAGATCCAAAAAAATGGGCTACATGCTTCAGGCATCTCCTTTAATTAAACCTTGCTTTATATCATACAAAACATTAAGTGTGAAATTACAGGTTGTGCAAAAGTGATATAAAAATGAACAGTTGATTCTATTGCTCTGGGCCACTTAAAAATGGCTCTGAACTTTTTTTTTTTTTTTTTTTGCAAACTCTCGTTAGGTAGAACCAGGGCTGCTAAACTGGGTTATAAAGATTAGGACTGTGGGACAGCAGTAGGGAGATAATAGAAAATGCTCACTCTTTACTACCATATTGTAGCTGTCTGAATCATTGTAGTCCAGATCTGGGAGTTGTATTCTAAACTTTATTTTGCAATGCAGTTCACATAATGAGCCCAATTGGATGCTTTGCTCATCAATCAAGCAAATGACTACATTTAGATCTAAATAAATATGTAATTTGTGGTATACACAAAAAGCTTGCATCAACATAACTTCTCAGAATCGTATGTTAGCTTAGGCTCCTCAGTAGCAATATCATTCTTGGTTTGGTACTTAAATTAGGACTAAGCCTATTCAGTTAACCAAACAGGTAAAATTTCAAACTCCCCCCCCCCAACTTCTTCTGGCTCATGAAATACAGATTTTAAGATGGACTTGATAAGGAAGCACTTTTAGTTGTCAGCAATATATATATATATATATATATATATATATATATATGTATGTATGTATGTATGTATGTATGTATGTATATATATATATATATATATATATATATATATATATATATATATTGTGGTGTGCATGGATGTGTATGTAGGTGTGTGGGTTTGTGCATGCGTATATATATTGTATATATATTTGTGGCAACAAGAATATATATCACTCTATCTCAATAAAGAAGAATTTATACTATAATAAATTCATGGGAATGTTTTTCAACAAAAATAGCAAAAGGATCTTTTTCAATTTCAAAAACCTAATAATTCCATGATGTCCTTTATGTTGTTCTTTTTCTAAAACAGCTTTACTAAACAATGGAGTTACCTTGAAATTCTTCATGTCTGGTGACAATAGATATCCTTCAACTATCATCTGGAAAGCAGATGCAACATTTTTCCATACCTCTGCTGAACTACTAGAGGTATATATTACATTTTAAAAGTTTATTACTAAAAAGCATTTCAGATGTTAGTATCACCTTACCATGTTACTTAACACATGATTCTTTCTTTCTTTCTTTCTTTCTTTCTTTCTTTCTTTCTTTCTTTCTTTCTTTCTTTCTTTCTTTCTTTCTTTCTCTCTTTCCTTTCTTTCTTTCTTTCTCTTTCTTTTTCTTTCTTTTCTTTCTTTCAGATTGCACTGCAAGTTCAAGGTATAGATAAACTGTTTGAGCAATCAGTTAGCCAGTCTGAACAACACTCTACCAAGCAGAAGATCAAAGATACCCAAGAAAAGGTATATTTATATATTTATTGCTTTGAATATAAATGTTAGAGGAAATGTTGGATAAGATTATTCCAGGAGATTTATTAGGAGGGCTGCCCTGCTAAAATCTTTAATCTGGTAGCAAAATTCTTCCCAGACTGATATTGCAATTTAAGATAATGTAAATCATCTGATCACTTTATTTAAGGGATAGAATCTAAATATAGGTTGTCCTCGACTTACAGTTGAGACCAGAATTCCTATTGTTAAACAAAACAGTTGTTAAGTGAGTCATGCCCAATTTTACGACCTTTTTCATTGGGTTGTTAAGTGAGTCACTGTAGTTGTTCAGTGAATCAAGTGGTCATTAAGCAAATCCAATTTCCCCCGTTGACTTTGCTTATCAAAAGCCAATAGGAATGTTTGCAAACAGCAATCACATGAGCTTGGATATCATAAATACGAGCTTGTTGCCAAGTGTCCCAATTCTGATCACACGACTGTGAGGATGTTACTATGGCTAAAAATATGAAAACTGGGCGCAAGTCACTTTTTTTCAGTGATGTTGTAACTTTGAGAGGTCACTACACAAACGGTTGTTAAGATGAGGACTACCTGTAAATTAAAGTGGTCTTGAGGTATTGTAGAATCATAGCATGTCAGAACTGGAAATATCTTTCTGTAAAGTGAAATATTTGAAGGGGGGATGCATAATAACCCAAAGCATTATATTGTCCGCTGCTCTTTATATACTTGAACTGATCCAATACTAAATTGCTCTCATTGGTTTGGCTTTTAGTTCCCATCATACCAAGAAGTACCTGATAAAGAGCTCTCATTGGGTCTGTCAGTCAAAATTCTAGGAAACCACATTATGTATGTCCACCTTTCAGAAATGTATCAACATTTGAAGGTAAAGATGTCTAATACATTTTCACCATAAAATCCATATTGTTATCTCAGTCAGCTTAAAGCCTCTTGTCTCTTGACCCTTTTTTAGGTAGAAGAGTATAGACCAGCTGTGATCAAAGTGTGGATGAAATTTATTGAAATGTTTTTCAAATTTGTCAGCGTTCAAATGAGCCATCACGTTGTTCTAGATATGGGGCAGGTTCTCCCTACAGCTCCTGGTTTACCATTCCAAATAAATCTTAATACTTTCTTGGGAGCAGATGTAATCTGGAAAGGTAAGGATGGAAATCACCACAATTCAAAATAGCATGGGTAAATCATATAAAGTGGGGCAAATGGCCAGGAATAACACAACTGAAAACTATTAGCAATGCAGGTTACCCAACCAGTCTGAAGCAAGCGAGATTTCTGTATGTTTCTGATAAACATACGTAATTTATAACCTTAATTATATTGTAGTGCTTAAAATGTAGTTGTATTATTGTTGTTTATAAAGGCAACATTGAGATTTCTTTCTCTATGACACACCATTTATTAGCTTAAAAATTTCCAAAGTGCGTATTATCAGGCAATCTTGCTTTATTCTTGTTTCCTTGCTACAAAACTATAGAAGTACAAGCAATGTCATCTTTCACCTGTAATCTTTTCATCTTTTCCCATTCTTATTTTGGCTTTCCCCCCCCTCCATCCCATTGTCAATTATATTATTCATCATCAATTACACATTCATGTAAAAAAATATTAGTACTAGAGGGCCCTGGTCTTTAAGTTGAATCATTTTTAAAATAATGTTTGTTTCTTGTAGCAAAATCAGAAATATCTCAGGATGATCACACCATAGCCAAAATACAATCACAACTCGACAGCAAAGTTCGGTAAGCAAAATAACATTCTTTTCTACTATCCATCCTTCCTCCTCATAAAGTAAGCAGAATTCTGCAGCAGAATGACCTCTACCCCCACCCCCACCTTCTCTATCACTGACATATAGACATACCAAATCAATGTACAGAAGTCAAAACTAGCCAAGCTGCTTTTATGGCTGGAACCGCTAATCTCAAAGGCCTTAAATAACAAAACCTTTACCACTCTTTCATGTCACTCAAATCCTTTTGGTCTGAGGTGGTGTCCTCAATCTTCTTGACATTAGATTTCACTCTGTTATTATAATCTGAAACCGTACCCTACTATTTCTCTTCTTCTATTAGTGTCCATGGTTTTGGAAATATGAATTGGGGAATTAAGACAGACGGTTTGGATAATCGAATAGAAATTTCCGCCGAGATCCATTCGGATACTGCACTCAAAATGAATGTTTCATTGGACATGCTACAAAACAGATTTAAAGTAGAAATTGATAATCTTCAAGAGAAGCGTGATACACTGGTCGCAAGGTAGAAGAAGCTATTTTATAATTTGTTTAATATCTTTTTGTCATGCTACCTGCTGCATTATGTAGGGCTTTCATCTTCTGTATACTGTAAATATTATACATATAATTCAGTCATAGCTTACCAATTGGTGTAAACCAAGAATTATGACTAGCTACTTGTTGTGTGCTCTTTCTCTGAGTTTTTCAATTTTTACTTTGTAACAACATTCTTTCTGGTAGGTTTGATGAGAAATTATAAATATATATAATAATATTCATAAACCTTTGACTCAGTCTATTAAATATCTGGCCTAGAGCCATAAAATGTACCACTGTTTTTCCTCTGTCCTTTCCTCCCTCTACTCCTGGGCCTCAACAAGGAAAATTTCATCTTATTACTTCATTCTCGGGGTGCTTTGATATAAGAGTTTGTGTTCATGTTAACTTAGAGTATATTAAGTTACTGCGGAGTATAATAGAACACTTTCTTATTTCTCCTCACTGAATTTCTACTTAGACATAGGGCACATGCTGTAATAAGGTACCCACGTAATGAGAAAATGGCTCCGATTATTCCAGAACCAATTGATATTGAAGAATGGGATGAAGAACCCGGCAAAGGCAACATCAAAGTAAATATTGTATTTGTTTATATGTGTTGACTGATATTTGGCGGTCTACTGTGCAGTTAATCTGACTGATATCACTTCTTAAAGAACAGCTATTTTTATTTTTGTAAACTTATTTAGAAATCTTAACATATTTTTGTTTATATTTAGGATTTTGTTATGGTTTCAACTTGTTCAAATACATCCTTTTTTAAATATAATGCTAAACAATATATTTAGAGCTATGTGCAAACGACAACATTTGTCAAGCTTCTGATAGTGTATGTAGAATGATAAGGTATGAACTTTGAAAAAAAATAATTAAAAAACTAAATTCATCTTATTATAGAACTGTTACCTATAGAAGTATAATTGGCATACTTTTTCTATCCTAAACATCTGTTAGTTTGGTAGCTACAGAGGCACAGAGCCCCCAATTTTTGGGTTTTGCTCATACTACTCATAAGACCCATCAACCTTTTACTATCTATGAGACTTAGGATTTTCTTTAACACCCAAGTTTGATTTCCATTTCTTGACATAGGTGAAATAGTCGGTTATTATTGTTGAATTCTGACATATCTATCTTCACTTCAGCAACAATCTAAAGGTGATCGCAGACCTCAAGAGCTTTCGGACAGTTGCTGGCCTGTAGCTTGGCTCCCAGTAAACATGTGCTGGAAAACCACTGAGACAAGAGGATATGTGCCCTCCCAGTATACACTGATGCATGTGCTGTGCTCAGAACATGAAATGAAGTATTGGTTTGAATCAGGTATTACTGTGTGGTGAAATGTTCAGTTTGTATACTTGGAAGTGTTCGTGCTAATCACTTTCTAAAATATGTGTCTGCCTTATAATCCATGCAGATCCTGGTATGACTAAGATCCAAGTAGATGTCAATCTAGACTCTGAAAAAATTAGAATGAGAAGAGAATTGGTGCCCGAAGAAGAAGAAGAAGTAAAAGCAGAAAAACAGAAGGTACGTATAACACATGGAGAAGGCACATTTTATAAGGTCTAAGTTAGCTAGGTATAAAACAAGGTGTTCCATATTTATTGTTTATTCATTCAATTTCTATAGCTGCCCATCTCAGTCATATGTGAAAGATCAGTTTTCTCATGGGGTAAATGGATATTTGTATTTTGTCCAATTCCACCTTCCCTCTATCAATAATATAGCAAAATATTACAAGGAAGAAACTCTTAATTCTTAAGAAACTGTGAATTTTTAAGAACAACTTAAAAGAAGCAATATTTTAACCTTCAACTGTGTTGCAGGGTGATGCCAAAGATCAGAAGAAACAAGACCAGGATACCAAGTACCCAAATCAGGACACCACCTCTTCCTCTGATTCTGCTCCTCCAGAGAATAAGAGACAAGACCAAAAGAAAGGTGGTACCAGCAGCAGCACCTCCACCAGCAGCAACGATAGCAAGAACAAGGACACCAGTGAAAACACCAGCAGTAAGGATAGCAGCAGTGAGAGTAGCAGCAGCAGCAGCAGTAGTGAGTCCCAAGATAGTGGAACAAAGGGTTCTTCCCAGACCCAGTCTAAAGAGAGTTCTTCCAGCAGCAATGACAGGAGTGAAAGCAGCAGCAGCAGCGAGAGTAGCAGCAGTGACAGCAGCAGCAGCGACAGCAGCAGCAGCAGTGATAGCAGCAGCGACAGCAGCAGTGGCAGCAGCGACAGCAGCAGCAGCAGCAGCAGCAGTGATAGTAGCAGTGACAGCAGCAGCAGTGACAGCAGCAGTAGCAGCAGCAGTGACAGCAGCAGTAGCAGCAACAGTGACAGCAGCAGTGACAGCAGTAGCAGCAGCAGCAGCAGTGATAGCAGCAGCGATAGCAGCAGCAGCAGTGATAGTAGCAGTGACAGCAGCAGCAGCAGTGACAGCAGCAGTAGCAGCAGCAGCAGTGACAGCAGCAGCAGTAGCAGCGACAGCAGCAGTAGTAGCAGCAGCAGTAGTAGCAGCAGTGACAGCAGTAGCAGCAGCAGCGACAGCAGCAGCGACAGCAGCAGCAGTGATAGCAGCAGCAGCGACAGCAGCAGCAGCAGCGACAGCAGCAGTAGCAGCAGCGACAGCAGCAGTAGCAGCAGTGACAGCAGCAGTAGCAGCAGCAGTGACAGCAGCAGTAGCAGCGACAGCAGCAGCAGTGACAGCAGCAGTAGCAGCAGCAGCAGTGACAGCAGCAGTGACAGCAGGAGCAGCAATGAGGAGGGTACCATCGAGAGCCAAAGCAGTGAGAGCAGTGAGAATGATAAAGATTCCAAGACGGTAATTATAATGTCACTTCTCTGAGTCTAGTTAACGGGAGCAAGGAGGCAGAACCAGTTTCATTCAAGCAAACATGTGTAGCTTTATCCTTTCTGGCTAATGTGAATTACAAGTTGGCCAAGAGCTATGAGAGTCCATCTGACTTAGGAAGGAACTCCCCAGTCGCCTTGCTTGTTAGTCCTAGGTTCTGATCCTTGGAATTTGAAAGCTAAGCATTAGCTTACACATACATCAAGTGGAGCTCACCCACAGAGATTTCAACACAATGTTATAAGACACAGCATTTAACAAGAAATCTTGACATGAAATAGGAAGGTTGGTCTCCATCTTATTAGCTGGCTATTGTGAAACTTCTGGTTGCCTATTGGACTTTCAATGGAGTATTGCAGTAAGCAATTTTACCAAAGAGTGTGCCTGCATTTAATTCCTCTAAATTCCACAAAAGCAGAATGATAGTGAACAACTATACACACTTAAAAGGTAACAAGTTGCGTGGAAGTAAGAACAATGATTTGGTTGATTTCTGTTCCTCTCTTATCATGTTGATCTGTCATCTGCTTTCTGGAGTATGAGAAATCAGCACTGGGTATTTAGTAGTGTTGTGCCCTGCAGTATTGTGTGTTTTGAATTAGCCCACAATGCAATAAGAGATAGAGATAATAGTGCTTGTAAATCAGTTATTTGGGAAAGTTTATAGTGATGGCACTGTTGTTGTATCACCGAATATTCATTTTAAAAATAGCATTTCTATCAAATATGGAAACTTTGAAAGCATCCCAAACTATTATTTTAGCCATAAAAAAGCAGTATTAATGAGGCTAGCCATAAAAAAGCAGTATTAATCAGTTTTAATCAATCATTCAACAAAGTAGACATGGATTTTGATCTTCAAAGAGGATCTTCAGGGACATTCAGAAATAACATTTCCATTCATATTATTTTAAAATTAATAGTTTATGTAGCACAGTGTGAAAATTTCTCTGAGTGTTCTTTTTTATTTATTTTTTTAAGGGAGTACCAAAAGAGATTCATAAATATTCTTTCCGATCTGTGAAGAAAGAGAAGGTAAGGCATAGGAGTACAGAAAATTTAAACAAAGCCAGAAAACTATTGATGGGATGTTATTGGCAATGCAGTACACTATTTCTTTTTGGGGGAATGGTGGAAATATAATGTATTGAGATGAAGGTATCTGATTCTTGAAATTTTTCCATTTTCTCCATCTATCAGTATAATATCTTTTGCTATTTATTATTGAAAAGATGGATAATTTCATCATACAGTTTGTGCCCCATTTGTTTAAAGTATTGATTATTACTTTCCTTTGTCAAAAAAAAAAAAGAGAGAAAACCAAACAGAAACCCTATATAAATAAATCACCACACCGCTTTTTCAGCAGTGAAGTTTCTTGTCTAATCTGAAGTAGAAGAATGGTTTTTCAGCCTGGCACCTTTTGGAGATATTGAGAATATAAATACCGTAATTCCCTGCCATCATGACAAATTAGCTTGTCCTTCATAAATGTGTATTCTTCACATTTTTGGATGGCATTAGGTTAGGGAAAGCTGTTCTCATTGAGAGACTTTCTTCCGCTGCTCTAAAGCTGCTCTAGGGAAGCTACCCTGTTCATGGCACTGCATAATCTGAAATTTGCTTTAATATTTTTGATTTCAGCAGCCAGGAAAACAATCCGATGACCCCTCTGATTCTGACTCTCAGCTGGACTTTGATGAAAAAAATATAAAAGACTCTGCGGTCAGTATCCAAGTACCTTTCTATTGGGAAACATTAATCCTGAAGAAAATTTACTTGTCTGGCTTAAGCATGAGAAACAGAAAAGGCAATAATGAGATTTAAGTAGTTTATATTTTATTTTTACCATTGTATTTGTAGATGTTATTTTAGATTTAGTATGCTACTTGGTTTTAATGGAGCCAGGGCGGCGCAGTGGTTAGAATGCAGTACTGCAGGCTAACTCATTGCTCACTCCTGGAGTTCAATTCCGAACTCAAGGTTGAATTAACTTTCCATCCTTCTGAGGTCGGTAAATGAGGGCCCAGATTATTGGGGGCAGTATGCTGACTCTGTAAAGCGCTTAGACAGGGCTGTAAAGCACTGTGAAGCGGTATATAAGTTTAAGTGCTATTGCTAATCCAACTGAAATTTCATGTACATAGTGAAAATAGTTAAGATCCTAATAGTGTGCAAAAATGATCATATATACAATTGTTATCAATAAAAAAGCAAGTAGCTAAGGATCGACTTTTAAGAGATAGACACCCCCCTCCCAAAGCCTAACAAACAAACTTCATTATTCTTTGAAAGCAAGGATGACAACCTATAATCCTGCAATTGTTATTGGACTACAGCTACTGTCAAATGTGATTGTTGGTCAGGCCGAACTAGTCTTACAGGGTCTGGGGTTTAAGACTATCTGGCTATATTAAACAGATAAGTAATTGAGAAACTTCCAGGTGTGCTTTTTAGCTCTCAGAAGTTATCCAGATGCCAGAGTGACCTATGTAAGCTAAGCATCAACTGATGAGCCTCTTTACTAATACATATGGGAATTAGTGGTAATTATGTTAGTCACTTTAAAACAATGTACTTGTTAAACCCAGAGCAGCATTTAAATAAATTTCTTCCTTTGGATTTTTTTTTTTATCTAAAGTTGGAGAGACGTATGCTCATTACTTTCCGCTACCTCTATGTTAATAAGAAAGAAAGTGGACATGATGTTGTAGTGCTCAAACATTCCTCTGGAGTTAAAGTGACAGTGAAAGACATCGCCCGCCCAACTAAACCGATGGTCTGCTTCACCTATATTGAGCTCAACCCTCATAAAATAATGGTGAGCCTTTTCAAAACATACTGGTTCCCTATGAGCATTAAATCCAAATATCAGTGACATACGTTAAGCAAAATTATATCTGATATATTTCTTCTTTCTTAGGCAACTTTGAGAGCTGGTCAGGATTGCAGAGACAGCAGTCTTTCTTTCTTCGTAGAGACCGGTTTGTTTGCTGGAAAGCCAGCTCTTCAGGCAAAATTTAAGTACCCTAAGGTTCCTGAGAAAGTGAATTATGTTATAGATCAGTAAGTAAATGTTTCTGATGATCTAATGCTGTATGCCACAGCAGCTGAGGTGTGCATGTGTGCTTAAATGAGCCTGAATCCTTCACAACAAAAAGGTGACTTTGCTTTAATCAAATGTGTGTTTCAAACTAGTTCTGGTATCCAAGTCTGGGCAATATTAGAAATTGATCTGTGAATAAATTTGCATTTATCTCATTTTTTAAGAAGAATAGCCTTCAAAAAATAGCTAGTTTTTTCCCCCTGATAAGATCAACAATTATATTTGATGGAGGCAGATCAGAATTATGGAGTACACTACTCCTTCTCTATGAGTATTACTCATACATTTATTTCTATTAACAAAATAGCTAATTTTATTACACCTGATCAACATGAATAAATGAATTGGTTCCTCAACCAAGTACTCCTTCTCAAAGGCAGCTATCTTTAAATAACTAGATTGGTTAAGGAAGGAAAGAGTATTGGCCATTTTATTTGATGTTTTCAAACTATCTATATAACCTATTGCTGTATGAATCTATATTTTGGGGGGGAAGATTCCCTATAAATGCATTTCCACTGCCACTCTATCACCCATGCAGGCAATAGAATAACAAATGTCAAAGCTAAACGCAAATCAGGCTGCTAACTGTTCTTGCCCAAATCAATCTTTAAATATCATCCACCTGCTTTGCAGACTAAATATGATATATTGTGGATTATGAAGTTTGTTCTGAGGGTTGTTTTCTTAGATACAGAATGTCCTTCCTATATCCCTTAAATTGTGTGTCATTTTCTGTCTTTGTCAAGAATTCTTGCAGTACTCCCTGGAATTGCCTACCAAGGAGGCTTCACTCACAAAATCCAAAAGAACTCTCCTAAAGAAATTTCAATAGTTATGGCTCTAAAACGTTCAAGCGAGTGTATCATGGTCATGAAATTGCCAGAAGTGAGTTACACATTTTTTAGACAACTGGGGGTTTTTTTTGTTTGTTTGTTTAAAAACCAGTCAGTTGTACATTTACTTGTTCATTCTAATCAGCTTTGGTGGGATTCTGAAAACAGCTGCTCTATAGCCGTGTAAAAATAGGAAGACTCACAGGAGAATGTTATTGCCATTTTGAGGGTTAGTTTTTGGCCTGCCAGATGTGTTGCTGAATTCTTCCTATGTATACAGTAAGGCCAGTAAGATCTGGCTGTCCAATCAGTCAAGGTAAAGCAATGAGAGAAGGAAATTGATTAGGACTAGTATACTGTCAAACTGTATCTATAAAGTAAATAAAAACAGAATCTTTGTGCCTCATTGAAAATGCACTGGGAAAAATAACTAAAGGTATCAGCTCTACTTATTTTTTTTTGTTTTCATATTTTTTTCCAGGATCTCCTCTACAATGACAGATGCACACTTCCATTTTCAGTGCCAATGGATCCCAAAGTCCAAACTTCAAAAATCTCTGAAATTCCAAAATTGCTTCTTGCTAGTCGGAATGGTCAGCAGTTTTGCTATGTACTTATTATAATTTCTGAACAAACTTGTGGACCTTTCAGTGATGTTGAATATCAGTTCCTATAATTCCCTGCCAAATGATTAGTAATCAGAGCTGATGGGATTTAACACCATATGAAGGTTCACAGGATTCCTTCCTCTACTTCAACTATTTAAAAATATATCATATTATAAAATTAATTTGATTTATTTAAATTCATTTGAATATGTAGAGAAAGCCATATCAACTTAAGATCTAAATTTTATTCCTAGCTCAAATAAAAGGCATATGTATAATTTGTATATAAGAGTATACCGCAAAGTGTTTCATAGCCGATGTGGAGCAATCACTTTAAATCTTATTTCACAAATAATTTAAAACCCAACCAGTCTAAAAATTCATCACTTACTTTAACTTAACCTGTGAGAATGCAAAGAAAATATTAAAATGAGCTGAAAATAAATCTCCCTTTAAAAATATCTGCAGATTCCTACATTAGGTTTCTGTAATCACAAATGTAAAGTTATTTTCTCAAAGTTCTAAAATACAATTTATTAGCTGCTTCTCTAAATAGTCAAAATATTAGAAGCTTAATTCTTCTCTCATTGCGTTTTTACTTGCTGTTATCAGGTGTTTGTGTAGTAGAAGGCAAAAAAATTATAAGCTTCAGCAATCAACTCATTACAAGAGGATTGCCTGACAACTGTTTTATAAATGTATTGGGAGATTGTACATGTCGCAAAAACCTGATGGTGCTGATGAAATACGAAACAGAAGCAAATAACAGTCTTCTAATTGAAATCCATACACATGACATGTAAGTAATTTCCAGTGCATTTTTAATAATCTAGCCTGAACTCAGGATAAGAGAAAATATAATTTCTAAATTATCAGAAAAGAATCATTCTATTATAAATTTTGTAAGTTTTGTGAAAACTTACACAATTTTATTCAATATTTGAGCAAATGAAATATAACTAAGTCAAAGCAATAACCCAAACTATAACAACTGCAATAAAAATGAAATCTCAACATTAGACAGTAGAATAAATCATGCATAGTAAGGATGAGGGTAATAATAAGAGCATCGGCTGCATTAGAAAATTAGAAAACACTTGTGTTACTGGAAGAGAAGAATAACCAGAAGAGTGTTTTGTGTTAAAAAAAAAAGTCAGATTTTTCTCTGAAAATCAAGAATCCAGCTTTGAGGGAGATGGATGGTTCAGAAATGTGAACAATAAATACACAAATGAAAGTTTCAAGATTAGGTTTGGCAGGAACTGTGAAGGAGGATATTCTGTGCTGTGCTTGCAGATAAAAATTCTGTTACCTCTAAACAACCAGCATTTTTCAGCCATTAATTAGGATTTTAGATATTGAGAAACTTGTTATAATTGGCTATTTTAAATGGTATGTCTCTTTATGCCTGATAAAATAAACTTTTATAAGAGAATAAGATAATGTTCAATATTAACTCACTTACTAATGTAAACATATTGATCAAAAACTCATAAATTTTGCACTCAGCAGCTAACTTTTTTTTATGTTTTCTGTTTCTACAAGCCTATGTACCATGAAGTCGCGTAATGGTGAGCTCATTGTAGAAGTAAACGGCACTAGGCTACAGGATGGAGTTCTCCCTCGTAAACTCCAACGTACGTAAAGAAAATAATCTTAATCATCAGTTAATGTAACAACTGAAGAGTTTGCTTTAAAAAAACACCAAAGAAACTAAATTCATTGCAAAGAAATAGAAAATAATGATATAGCATAAATAGAGGAGAAAAACTGAATTTAAAAACAAGTATTGATTGATTCTGGATTTAGAAATAGTCCTTCAATTATGTGTTCCCCATACATAAAGGTAGAATTGTTTATATTTTCTGACTCTAAAATATATTAGAGGGGTAGTTTAATGATCAGGAATGTTCAGAAGGGAATGGGAGAAGAAACGAAGAACAGTAGTCCCTGGACAAATTTTATTTGAGGGAAATTCCATCTATTATCCCTCTTGGTGGAATCATCAATTTAACTTTCATTTCACTTTTTACCCTGACAGATTTGCCTCTTCAATTTAAGAAAACAGTAAACGAAGTGGACTTTAGCATGCCCTTAGCTGGATTAGAAAAAGTGACCTACAAAGGAGATGGTGCCATGGTATTTTTTATTATTATATATTGCTGTCATTATTACAGAATATTTAAAGTTGTAGCATGTTAAATGATAAGAACATACAGGAATGAGTCTTGCTCCTTTAGAGATTAATTAAGTTATTGATGTGCTTAGGAGAACAGCACTTGAATCATATAAGATTTTGAAATAAATTGTTCTGAGGAATCCAGTTTAAACTTCTGGGGGGGGGGGGGGAATGAACAAAGACAATTTGAAATCCACTCAAATTATGTTTGAGGTTACATCTCTTTTCATGCTTGTTGTAAACAAAACCCCATTTTTTTTCTCTTTTTGTGAAGTTTGAAGTTAATACCTTGATAGTAAATTCATGTGGTCTCTGTGGATGGTATGGATCAGAAGCAAGAAAGTTCCGGAGACCAAGTGGCCACTTAGCTAAAGATGAAGTGAGCTTTGTTCAGTCCTGGGTGGTCCCTGATGCATGTGGTGGAGGTAAGTAGACTCTGATGGTTTGCTTTAATAGTCACCAACAATCTGATCCAGATTTTTCCTTGCCTGGCTCAGCATTTTGACATCACTGTTAGCAACTGGATTGAACCATCACTTTAATTTCCTATAATGGTTCAGAAAAGAGTAGCCAATGACTGCTAGGAATTAGTATTGCCCCAAAGTTGATCATTGTATACCTGTAGAATAAATTGTTTGGAATAAATTCATTCAAATCACATACCTTCAAAGCTAATAAGCATGAACATGATGCTTTAACAAATGCTACTTTGAGAAATGAAGCTGTAGAGCTCCTAGTTTCCTTTAGAAGGTTTAAAAGAAACCTATGTTGTTCTCTTGTAGACTGTAAACTGCGACACACAACAGTAAGACATGAGAATCCAATCCTAATGGGCCAAGAAAATCAACAGTGTGCAACCAATCTTCCTGTCGTACGCTGTGCTGAAGGCTGCTCAGCCACCAGTACTACCAAAACCTTAGCTAGCTTCCATTGTGTGCCTGCTGGTAAGTTCATGTAATGTTTACTTACAGTATTTCAGATATTCTTATAACCTGTAATATATAGGCAGACACACTAGATGATTCACTTAAGAAGTATTTTCTGGGAATTTTCTGCAGTCTCTTGGTTTTCAAATATTTTGTTCTTAGAGAGGAGCACCACAGAGCTTGATTTTATTGGGTCATTCAGAATACTATAAACATTTTGTTTGCTCAGTTGTGGGATTTATCTCTTCCCACTGTTACTTCTATGTGGAGAAGAAAGAGCCTTAAAAAAAAAAGTGTTCTGAACGGTACAACAGCCATAAAATTTTAAAAGAATCTTAATGTTTTTAACATTTTGTCTTAATAATTGATTTAAAGTGGGCTTGACTGTTACCTGTTTTCTATGATCATGATACCCCTATATAGATACCTACTGGACTGCAGTCCAGTCTTAACTCATAAATATTTAGAAATATCTCCTATTTATTATGAATAGGCTTAAATACTAAACAGGAAATATGCTCTGCTGTTCTAATTGAGCTCATTATCTTGGCATAAAGGACAGGGTCAAATTAGATTTGACTATTTGCTTGCATAAATTTAGGGAATATGCATATCTGAGCAAGCCGATTTATCCTCTGGATTATGGAAAGTGAGATTGAGGGGAAAAAATTATCCCCTTTCCCTGCTGCAGTCCCAACTGAAAGTCTCTTTCTCAACTTTTCCAACACAATAGCTTGAGGAAAATTATTCTTGCCAAGACTGGGGTGGGCTTTAATAGGGGTGAGGGAGTTTTCTTTGGCCTTGCAGAAAAAAATATTCTTTGTCTTGCACCAAGTTTCTTCCTTTAATGATTTCACTCTTTTTTCCTCTTCCTCCAGGAACAACCTTGCCTACTGACCTGACCGTGCTGGCTGAAAAGTCTGAAGATTTGGTAGACTTAGTTGAATCTCACACATCCTGCTCTTGTGAACAGGAGCGATGTGTTGCATGATCCTTCAACTGAGCAGACTCAGTGCATGTTCTCTTGTTCTCTGCTGTGGGGGCTGATATGTCAATTCTAAGCTACTACACAGTTGTTAATTAAATTATTTTAAGAAGCCTACTGTACCCTCTTAAAGAATCCAATTCTTCCTACAGTAAATCTAAGCCTTATTCCAATATAACAAAGTCAACTCTAAATGAAACAGATAATTTTCTAATAAACACTTGCATTCCAAAAGAAAAATAAAGTGATGGCTTCTTTATTTCATTAGCGAAGTGCAATAAAAGGTTGTGATTGGTAGAGCAAAAATGATTGGATATTTGGATAATAGGAAGTGCTTTTTAAAATTATATATTACTGCTAGAATTTTCATTATAATTTCTGTTTTAAATAAATACTTTCACGCTCAGTGAAAAATGTATGTTTCTCACATCATTGAGAAATACTATATGGTAAATTTCTCACAAGCTATACATGTTAACAGAGAAAGAATAATATTCAAATTTATAGAGTTAAATTACTTGGAGTAAGATAAGCAGACTGAACTACCTTCAATTATAATGCCCATAAAGCCTCCATGCTACATAAGTTAATACATTTTGTTAACTCATTCACATATCTATTCCCCAAAAAAAATACCGTAAATGCCAGCGTATAAGACGACTTCCGCGAGCGCTGAAATCGGCGCCAAAGATGGGGGTCGTCTTATACGCCGAGTCGTCTTATACGCCGGAAATACTGGTAGTTTCCGGCGTATAAGACGACGTTCTAGGAATGCGGCCCGGCTATAAAGACGGGGGTTGTCTTATACGCCGGGTCGCCTTGTACGCCAGCATTTACGGTATTTATCTTGATTTAAACCCTCTTCCCAATTACCAGGATGTCTTTATTTGTTTTAAAATCACAAATTGAAAAATCAAGCCTTCAATGGCATAAAATAATATAGTAATACCGGTATATCCATCCTATCCAGAATCAGTAAAAGGAAAAAGAACTAAGTTTGTGTGAGTGTGTGTGTGTGTGTGTGTGTGCGCGCGCACATGCAAACACACACACACACCCATGTGATTATGTTTTCATAAACAAATCTGACCATTCAATAGCCCATATTTGAGCAGAGATGACAATGGCAGTTTCAAAGTAGGGTGAATGGTGGAGATACCATTTTAATGGAGTAGAAGCTGATCCAGTGTTTACCTTTCTTCAAATTAATGTACTGTAATGAGATCCATGTTCTCCACTGTAGTCTTGGCTCCATGATCTAGTGAGATTGTTACTCCAATCCAGAGGTATTATTCTATATTTTTTAGATCATGGTGTGTGGAATGGGAGCAGAAGAGCCATTTTTAGGTAGCATTTCTCAGTAGTGCTCATCAGTACCCATAATAAAATTGTTGCCATCTAGATGGACAAATATTGCCTCTAATAGTTCAGTATGACAAAGGGTGCAGGATGGAGTGAGTTTGCAAATGTATTGACATAGGCTCCTACTGCTTCATCATCCTACCTGCTCTATTCCAGCCTATGGCTGTCCTTGTTAAAGGCACAAGGACAAAACCCCTTTTGAGAAAATAGGCTGGAGACTCAAAAGAAAACAAACCCCTTTTAATATGGGTAACCAACCTGCCAAATAGTCCAGAAACAAAAGCAACAAACACAATCCAAATGGAGGAAATTGTCCACATGAAACCATACAAAGGAGAGAAGTAGTCACTGGCAAGACTAACAGAACATGATCCCATGAAATACTTTGAAACTGTTGCCTTCAGCAACCAGCACCGCCCACACCTTCTCTTTTTATAAAGCAGACCCAAGGCATTGCCTCTCAGTGCCTTCTCCTCCTCCCCTGGAGTTGTCGTATTGGCTGCTGCTGATCTGCTCTCGCTAATTGCCTGTGTCTACGAGCATCAATCATGATGTCCATCAGGTGTGAATCCTCCAAGTCTGACTCATTCTCCCCACACAACTGAGCTTCATCAGGAACACGACTGGAGGGTCCAGGCTCTTCATCAAACCATGAGTCTTATAATTCATCAGAGCCTCCCTCTGACCCCGATGGCCCTTCAAATGCCTCCTCCACCTCCTCCTCAGATTCCCCAGACTCAGCTGTTGGGAACACAGGCTGGCACAGAATCACGACAATCTAGAAGTCCAATACTTCTACAGATTGGTCCATTGTTGGAAATAAGGAATCTACATAATAATTAAACCAGTGTGGTATTAATTGAATAGAAGAGCCTGTGCATGAGCAAAATGTCTGATCTCATAGCCCAAACCAAATTGGTCATAGTAGGTAGAGCTATATGATCAAAAGAAAAAGAATATGCCCACACGAGCTTCAAGTGGCCATTGGGATCCAAGTAAATCACAGGTCTAATCAATTCTTTTCCAACCACCTCACTGAAGTGACACAAATAGATAGTATGACAGCATTTGTATTGGGAAAAGACAGCTCCTTTTTAACAGCAGACCAAGCACACTACCTCTATATCAGGCTGCAAATGACTTAGAGTTGATGATAAAAAGTCAACAAGTTATCCTCACGGCTTGGTTAGAAGGATATAAAAAAATTAACCATATGCCTTAAAGTAGTATAAGTAGGTTTGCATTTGTCTGATTGTGTGAAACAACAACTACAACCCTGAGGAGTTGCAATGAAAGAGGATTTATGAAACTATATGAAACTTTTTTCTTTAAGCATCTATGAAGTGAAGGCGACATCAGCCAAAGCTTAAGAACTGGGGTAAGGGAATGGGTGAGAAGAGCAGGGAAGGATTAGGCAAGAATTATAGGAACACAGACCTTTACTGCTGCCAATAGAAAGAATATTTCTGTGTAATTTACAATGCTCCACAGCTAAATCAGTTATACTTTCAAATCTCACACCAAGATGGCAGCATGTGAACATAACAATCTAGAGTTGATTGTAAAGAGGTGCAAGGAGACTGTAGGCAAGTATCCTCAGAAGCAATGAGAATCAAACAGCTGCTGATGAGGAACTTTCTGCTCACTGCTGCTGTTATATCAACTGAGCTGCCGTTCTACCTCTTGGCGTTGCAGAGGTCATCATTTCCTGAGAGGAAGAACAATTGAAAGATCTACATTTGCCAGGCAGATCTAGATTCAATTAACCTGACCTACATGTGTTCAAGCTCACTACTTTATTATATTCTGTCTATTATACAGGAATATTATACAGTTCTGAATCTTTTGCAACTGTGCAAGGACTTAAGGCCACCTCCTGTAATGGCTCAGCTCCTAAAGCCACATTTGAGGCATATGTCTGGACAATAAATCTCTTTGATGGGTCTGGAGAAGGAGCTATTTGGTAAAGAGCTGTTCTGGAAAGAACTGTTGGTGGTGCAAGGATTAGAATGCAGTATTTTGCAGGCTAACTCTGCCAATAGTCTGGAGTTGGATCCTGACAAGGCTCAAGGTTGTGTCAGCCTTCCAAGGTTGGATTATTGGGGGCAATATGTTGACATTGTAAACTGCCCAGAGAGTGCTGTAAAGTATTGTGGAGTAATATATAAGTTGAAGTGCTATTGCTATTTAACTTTTCAAATGTAGATTGCTCTCTTTCTGTTCAAATGTCAAATTTCACTTTCTTTTTCAGCAATTGAGTGAGAGGCTTAACTTTATGTGCAAAGTTAGGAGTGAATTACCTTTAAAAATTAGCAAAGCCTGCTGAACCTGTTTTGCATTATAGAGGATTGTCAGGCGAGTACTGCGTGCACCTTCTGGGGATCCCATCTGTGGAAATATTTTAACCCAGAAAGCCTAACTGCTTCAAGTCAAATGCACATTTCTCCAACTTAGGAAATAGGTGATTTTCCTATGGTCTGTGCAAGACCTCTCATACATGGTGTTTATAAACTTTCTCATCCTCTGAGCAAATCAGGATATCCTCCAAATAAATCACTACAAATATGTCAAATACATCAGAAAAAAAATTGGTTCATAAATTTAGAAAACTCTGCTCCACAGTTGAAATACTAGCGTCATATTGCAGCACTAGTCATGCAAAAATGATCTGCGATCTAGTGAAGGAGTGGATCCAATTGTAGTTGCAGTGGTACTCAGTATAGTGAAACTTCATTTGGCACACCTCAATATATCAAATTTTGAATATAATAGTTGCAAATAACAATGATACAAATAATGATGGATAATGATGTTATTGTACAAATGATATAAATCACAATGACTTGCTAGCTTAACAGTTACTTGTGAATAAAACACACCTTTTCCACATTTAGTTTCTTAAAACAAGATTTTACTATCTCAGTATGACTGCAAGAATTCCAATTGGCCAATCTCTTTCCCCTGTGTGAATGCAAATATCACAGGAAAATTATGTAACACAAATGAAGTTTTGGGATGATTATGAAGTATGGATTTTTGCATTTATTATCCTCTTTTTTTCTCCAATCCGATTGAAACGAGCAGATGCATCGACTACAGAATCCAGTTCCCTTCGTGTTCGATCATAAAGAAAAAAAAAAAATTTAGAGAATCTTTTTCACCAGGGGTGTACTGTATGCATGTATATCTGTGAAATACAGAGAACACGCCTACTTTGAAACAAGCAAAACTTGTGACTTCCTCAAGAGGATTCTTCTTCTTAAAAAAATTAAAATGGGGAAGTCACTATTTCTTTCTTGACTCATTTTTTTCGCCCCATATACTGGACGGAAGACAGCATCAGCGCTAATCACGAAGACGGACGCCTCGATCGACGCTAGGGGGCGCTCACAGCCCCTACAATCGAACAACCCAGATCCCCTCCCTCTCTGAGCAGCGCCAAGTTCCCACCTTCCTAGCCAGCCGGCAGCCAAGCAGGTTCTTCCCCAGCAGGGAAGGGCAGGGCGACCGAAGCGGAGGGCAGAGGAGCGCGTTGGGGACGCTGTTAGAGAAGCCGATCCGACCCGGCGCGCCCTGGTCATGAAGAGCTCGGGAGGGGGCGGGGAGGCGCGTCTCTTGACCGCGATCCTCTTCGCCCTGCACTTGCGGTTGGGTGCCGGCGCGTGCCCGTGTCAGGATCCCGCGCTTTGCAAGCCTATCTCAAGCCCCAGAGACTTTGAGGTGAGCTCCCCGACCCCGCCCTCCACCCCCTCTCTCTCCTGGAGGGGGCGGGGGGAAAGCGTTATGCGAAGCCCACAGATCGGGCGGACTGGCTCGCTCAGTCGGTCCTCGATGAAGGTGGAAGTTTACGAGACTTTTGACCTTTGGCTGGGGAAAGTTAAGAACGCGTGGCCCGCGCGCGACCGTGGGAGCCAGTGAGGCTCCCCTTCAGATCCCAAATATCTTTGTTCGCTGTGGATGCAAATACTTCCTTAGCCAGCCTCTTCTGTCTAACACAGGGGTCCTCAAACTTGGTCACTTTAAGACTTGTGGACTTCAACTCCCAGAATTCCCCAGCCAACCACTGGCTGGGGAATTCTGGTAGTTGAAGTCCCCAAGTCTTAAATTGGCCAAGTTTGAGGACCCTTGGTCTAACATACTAGCCTTCTCCCTTTTAATGGATCTTAGACTACACGAACTGTGTGCGGCTGAGGATTTTCCCGTGATTGGTTGTCCAGTCCAAGAAAAATGGATCACTGTTGGAATGGATCGATGCCCTGTGTTCACGCGGGAAGAAAAAACGGAGGTGTCTTCTAGCCTAAGCCTTAAGGGGTAACTCGTCTCTTTTTCAGTTTCCTGGTGCTTCAGTGAAACTCTAGGACAGTGGTTGCAAAATGAAAGCAAAGGGTGACTAATCTGAAAATAACTGGCAAATATTCACAATTGCCAGAAATTACTGGAGAGGGGAGAGATCTGGCTCTCAGCCTCTGCTTTGCAGGGTGCCACAGGGCTGAAACCTTTTCCTGCTCCTGTTTATCATCTACAGTATGTGAAACAGCTGGGTGATGTGATCCATCAGCAGAGGTTGAAATGCCATCATTACGCTGATGACGCTCCATTGTATATCTGTGCTCTGAGCCACGTGGGTAATGCATAATTGAGCTGCTTTCCTAGAGCCTGGAGGCTGTGAAAGTCTGGCTGGCGAAGAAGTCCCTTGGGTTTTACCCTCAAAAGAACAAATGGCTGTGGTTTTTGAGCCCCCCCCCATATCTAGTGAATTTCCATCAGTGACTCTGAATGGGTGTTAACACTCCCCAAGGCAGAGTTTCTGTACAACCTGGGGGTTCTCCTCAAAGAACAGATGGCAGCTATGGCTAAAAAGGGGTTTTTTGTGCCACAATTACATTTTGTGCAGCAGTTGTACCCATTCTTAGACTGAGAAGCATTGCTCATGCTCACTTGTACTTTAGTCACTGGACTATTGCAACATGTTTTACATGAGACTGACCTTGAAGAGTGTTTGGAAGCTCCAGCTGGTCCTGAATGCCACGGCCCAGAGAGTAGTAGGCCCTCACAGTATGCCCACATAATGTTGCTGCTTTGTGAGGTGTACTGGCTCCTGGTGGGCTTCCAGATGCAATTTGAGGTTCTGGTTGTCAATTTTCCAAGTCCTGCATAGCACGAAGCTAGGTTACTTGTGGGACTGCCTCTCCCTGATGATCCCATCAGAAAGGGTAGAGAGAGCATCCTCCAGGTCCCATCAATGAAGCTGTGTTACTTGCTAGATCCTTGGAAAGCGTCTTTTCTATCATGGTATTGTTGTATGGAAAAACTTCTTCCAGAGATATGGATAGCCCCAACCCTGCTGGCCTTCTATACGATAAAGACCTGGGTATTCTTCCAGGGGATTGGGATATTAATGGAGTTCTGATGTGGGTGCAGGTCTATCTGTTTACCATGATGAGAGTTTGGGGGGGGGGGGCCTCAGGTGCTACTGCTATTTATTTTTTACACTGTTTTTGCTATTATAGGTTCTGTTTGTTGTATTTATTTACTATTCAGAGTGCTTTGGGAGAGAGGCAAGCTTGACATATAAGTAAGTAAATAAGTAAATAAATCCATCCCAATTTGAAGAAAGAAAAGAGAAATTACATATTTTGGCTGAACTGGAAAAGCCAAGCAGGATCATGTCTGATTAATACTTGAATGGGAGCTCACCAGGAAGTAGCAGGGCTGTAGGATAGACTGGGAAATAGGAAAAAAGAAAACACACCAGAATGTGGCAGTGGCAAGCTATTTTGTGGCTAAGAGAACTACACAGACATTAAGAGATGTGTTGGACTCATGAAGGAGGCTTTATTTTTTAACATAAACACTGTGCAGTTGACAATAGCTTCCGTATCCCTATCAGGATTTTTTCTAGTCAGTTAACATATCCTGCTTCTTCTGGCATTTTGTAGGAATCTGTCTTTAAACCATCACCAGGATGCATAAGACAAGTAGAGGGGCTTTCATAAAAGAAAATATCACACAGCCAAGATACACAGTCTGCCTAACATTTTCTAAAGCCTTTATTGTACAAACCTAAATTACAATGGCCACTTAAATAAACTGAAAGACAGGATACTATATAAATATATAGGTAGTCCTTGACTTATAACTACAATTGACCACTACAATTGGCTTTTTTTCCCCCTGGAAAATGGCAAGGAATGTTGCAAAACATGATTAATGACAATAGGATGTTGCAACAGGTAGCAAGTGCCTGAAATCATGTGATTATGGGAATGGCATAGAAATGATAATTTTGAGGACAGATTGTAAGTAACATTTTTTTGAGTCTGTTGTAACTTTGAACGGTTGTTAAGAAATAGGTTGTAAATAGAGGACTATCTGTAATGTTAATGATTTTAGAAAGCTTACAGCTTGTTAAAAGACGGCATATAACCATTTTTATAGTTAGGAAAACTTTGAATTTTAATCTTTTTAATATATCTGAATCAGTAAATACAAGCAGAAAAAATAACAGTTATGAAAGCATTTATTATACAAGAGACTTGTAGGGACTTAAAGACTTAAAGTCACTTCTTTATTAATTGGGAGAAGGAATCTTTATGTATATTTTTATGCAGAAAAATGCATGAGTCGGTCTAGGGGAGGTTTTTTATTGAACTGAGAATTTCTAAATTCCAAAGTATCAGAACGTATACTAAGCAAATAACTTTTAGGCCTTTTCCCCAATCTGGTGCCCTTTGAATATGTTGGACTTTGGATGGAAAATTATGGGAATTGGTTCAACATGCAAAAAAAAAAAAAAAATCAGGTTGGAGAAAGTTTTTTTTTCTTCCCCTAGTCCTAATTAAAATAGTTTTCTTTATCAGCTAAATCAGTTAAAGGACAGTGATGAAAGTGACACTTTTTTTTTTACTGTTCCTCTGTAGGTCTTTGTATTTGATGTTGGTGGGAAGACATGGAAAAATTATAATTGGTCACTAATTACAACAGTGGCCACGTTTGGAAAATATGACCCTGAGCTTATGTGTTATGCTCATTCAAAAGGCTCCAGAGTAGTACTGAAAGGTAAGTTCTAATCAGGATAATGGTTTTTTTGCACCTTGTCTTTATGTCTTTTCTCATATGTAGCACCCACTGAGCTTAATTAAATCTATATTAAGTGTGCGCAAGAATTCAGCTTTAATCATTGTGTAACACTCTAGCCCAGGGATAGGCAACCTTGGTTCTTTATGACTTGTGGACTTCAACTCCCAGAATTCCTGAGCCAGCATGGCATCGCCAGACTCAGGATAAAATAATGTTTTCTATTCAGTCCAATCACTTTTAGCACAAAAGAATTCTAGATAAGCTGAAAATAGTTTAATAGGCATGTGTTTCAAAATATTTAGAGTGTTCTGAATGCTCTATCACAGACATAACCTCATGTATGCATCCCAATGGCCACATGATCAAAATTTGGGTTCTTGGCAACGGCTCATATTTAAGATGGTTGCAGTGTCCCGGGATCATGTGATCCCCTTTTGTGACCTTCTGACAAGCAAAGTTAATAGAAGCCGGATTCATTTAACAACAGTGTCATCAACTTAACAACTGCAGTGATTCACTTAAAACTGTGGCAAGAAAGGTCATAAAATGGAGTGAAATTCACTTAACAAATGTCTCACAACAACATAAATTTTGGTCGCAAGTCAAGGACTACCGGTAAAACTTCATTGGAATAAATATCAGTTTCATTGTTAAACTAATTATATTCATATTTAACTCCATTACATTTATGTTGACAAAAGAACAACTCTATGGGCCCTTTTTGATATATATAAAATTCAGAGAATTGGGGCCTTCTTTCACTGCTTTTCCTAATAAAACAAAGTGGAACATTATGCTTTTCAAAAACAAACAAATCATGTTTAATATAACGTATTTTGGTCATTCAGCTTTACTTACTAATTGTTAGGAAAACACTGACATCCTAATTACTGGTTAACCAGATTATATAACAATTGGAAACAAGAATTCAGACTGCTAAAAAGATCATACTGATTGTTAAAGCATATTAACCAGACTTTCACAAAATAAATTCATTCACAAGGCTCCAATTACAACAAGGAAATAAATTTGAACAATAGTCACTTATGTCCAAAATCAACCTCTTTAAAATGGAGGTGGTCAGTTTCTTTGATTATCATGTGAAATGGAGACTTGGCCCTTTAGCCTTGGCAGAAAAAGTAAATATGTTGTCCTAACCAGGAAGTTATTTCTCAAAGCCTACTGATTTTGTTCTGGTCAGCCTTCCCCAGTCAACCCATCTATGTAAGTATTAGATTTGTAGCATGGTTGAGCGCTGTGGACCAGTTCATCTGGAATGAATCCACATGAAATGATTACTAAATCCAGTTTGTGATAATGTTCTTACATAATGAAATTTCTCTGCTAGATTTTTCTCATACACTGTTTTTAAGACAAGCCAGTATTACTTTTAACACTAAACAGTATTCAAATAATGAGTTTATCCACATAAATGTCACCAGCAAAGCAGAATAGAAAGCACAGCAGAAAAAGTATATAAATCCCAATCCATGAGTACACAAAAGCTGAACAATTTATTGTATGGCTATTATTATTTTGGTATCTTAAGCAACATCTGAAGCACTTAGGACCTTGGTGTTCCTTGTTTCAGTTTCTCTTTCATGTAATGAATTTCTAGTCCTCTCTTCATGCTCATGCTTATGGGCTCTTTTTAAAGCTATGTGATGAATAAAATTCAGCAGATATTTATTCCTGTGATCTGCCCTGATATGCTGATTAAGGCTTTTTTTTTAAAAAAAAATCATACTTAATATATGAAAGATTGGTATAAATCTTTTACAACCTGGCCCTTCTCTTCTGAAGAGATATGGGTCTTCAAAGGTGACTTTTCAATACCTAAATCCATGGACAAGGATAATCATGTAGATTTTCCTTCCTCATGGGAATTCTCCTTTCTAGAAGTAATTTTGCAAAAGCAAAAAGTGATTTAAAATCATCACTTGATTATTTTTAATGGCGTTATCAAATAGGGGTTCAGATCTACTTGTGAAATGTATAGAGATCATGATTTGTACTGTTGCTGGGCATTTACTATTATGCTTGGCAACTTTGCTTCAAATGAGAAATTTTGTACAAACAGGAATCTTCCATTTGCAAGCAGAAAGTACAACTGCAAAAGCAGAAATATATATCAGTAATAATATGCATATCAGTAGCTTGGCTATTGGTGGGGACACTTGCCCAACTTCCTTTCTGTTCTCAGAAAAGCATGATGGTAAAGAGTTCCACTGCAAGGCTACCTCACCATGACAAACAGACAGAATTATTTTAATTGCTTGCCTTCCTTTTGCTCTGGGGGATGGGAAGAGGATTTATCTGCACAAAAATGGGCGGGGTTGCCATACGCTATGAATGAATGAATGGACAGGGGTAGAGTTATGCATCTAATTGCTACCAGTATTGACTGAGACCTCTCTGTGCATTACTGGTCAGTAGCTTCAGTATTGCAAAATAGCAGAACAAAACTGAAATTGTCAGAACAGAATATACTTCGAAGATATTAAGATAAGGATGATGCTGATTTCAGAATATTTGTATTGCCTTAATAATGCAGCAATTTGGCAAATCATCACCATTTTTATTTCAGGAGACATATCTGTGAAGAAAATTATTGATCCTGCGGTTAGAGCAGCCTGGATAAATCAGCAGGTAGATCTGGCCAGAACACAGTATATGGACGGAATCAATCTTGACATTGAGCAAGAGATTAACCCATTGTCAGAGGAATATTATGCATTAACAGCTTTGGTTAAAGAAACCGCAGATGCTTTTCACAAAGAAATTCCAGGATCCCAGGTAAAAATAGAACAGTGACTCTTCTCACCTGGATATGATTCACACATGCTTGTTATCACTCCTAAGTCCTTATATGGCACAAGCCCAGGCTATTATTTGATCTCTGATTATTTCTCCTCACCCCACCAGAATTAACAGGAATGCCATGTTCCATGTTTTGTCTACTATGTAATGTCATTTTCCTGGACATGGGGGTCTTACCTTCTCTATTACAGCTATACACTGTACAGCAACACCCTCTTCAAGTTCCAGATGACGTGGACCCTGCTAGCCTTTCAGAAAAAAATAGTTCTCCTGCAGTTCCCCTAGGAATTTTGTCCATTTGCCATTAGATGCATTTTAGTTTTGGTTTCTAAGGAAAAACTTGTCCAATGTTTTATGTTATAGTATGGTGCCAGTGAAATTCCTTGGCTTCATTATAGTGTTTGAGCCTGTTCCACTGCACTTTAGCATTCCTATGGTTTCTGTGCAGACCTATGATTTATATTGCTAGTGTAGGATCAACACTTGGTTGATCCATAAAAAGTGGACCCTGCACATGTGGAAAAACACTAGGAATGAAAGAGAGAGAGAGAGAGAGATGGCTATATTTCTTTCATACACAGGTAACTTTTGATGTGGCTTGGTCTCCTGAATGTATAGATAGAAGATGTTACAACTATACTGGGATTGCTGACTCCTGTGATTTTGTGTTTGTGATGTCTTATGATGAGCAGAGTCAAGTGTGGTCACACTGCATAGCAAGAGCCAATGCTCCATATAACCAAACCTTAGCAGGTATGCTATAAAACAAGAGAAAATGTTGGAAGTCCTACAAAAAACCTACAATATCTGCAGTATTTCAAATTTGAAGAACATAAAGTATGTTTAGTTAGAGCATTTTATTCTGCTCTGTGGTAAAAATAGTCCCTAGGTAGTTTACAAAATCCAGAAATTAACCAGTCTGTGCTGTGTATACAATTAATCAATAATTAAAGCTAGTTTTTTTAAAATAGCAATTATATCTGTAGTCTTTAGAGATTTAATTGTCATTACTATATCTGAAGGGATCTAAACATACTATTTAAAAAAAAAAAATTGAGAGTAAATAAGGTAAAAGCGAAATATAATATCTATTCTTCAAAATGACGGGTTCTTGATTCTCTGTGAGCTTGGTTGTTTTTTTGTCTCGCAGATGTTTCATTAACCGAATTAGGTAACATCATCAATGCTAGTCCTACAATTTGTAGCTAGAGCTACAAATATTCTCCTTTTCTAGAATCTTCAAAATATTTGCTGAGAATTACATTGAGGGCAATTTAACATAGGAGATACCTGATTGGATTGGATGGGAGAGCTTACTTGGCTTTCATTGCAAAAGATAACCTCAGTTAGTTTGATTAATTAGCAATAATCTTGATCATGTACTTTTTCTAATGCTATGTACTATTACTTCTTACATTCTCATGAAAGCAAAATAAATAGTAAGAAAAATTAAAAATGTTTGTCTAGAAAGAGTGGACCACATCTGAGAGATCTGAAGGTTTAATTGTATCTTGAATGTTTACCTCAGTAGCCTTTGTTTGCTTGATGATGCAAATGTAAGTATAGGTATGGAAATGTATAAGAACAAAAAAAGCATGTGGATAAATTCTGAATTTTATATTAAATTAGGTTATGATAATTACATTTTCATGGGCATTAACCAAAAGAAGTTGGTGATGGGAGTTCCATGGTATGGCTATGATTATACTTGTCAAAATTTATCAAAGGTAAGAGAAAAACGGATGACTTGTTTATCTTTATCAACTGTGGCATTTACTTTACCTGAACAATAATCCTTCTTAAAGTGTTAATACAGTTCCATAATAAAAGATGTATTTTTTTCAGACTCATGAGTGCATCCTTGAAAAAATCCCTTTCCGGGGAGCTCCATGTAGCGATGCAGCAGGACGTCAGGTTCCTTATAAAACAATAATGACTCAAGTGAATAGTTCTCTTTCTGGGATTCTGTGGGATGAGGAACAAAAAGCACCATATTTGGAATATAAGGTAAGTTGTGTATTTATTTGGAACGTTATTTTAATTCATTTACTGCATCAAACATATAAGATAGCTATGTTGATTCATTGATGGGGGAAAAAAATCACCAAATAAAAGTATTGCATTAATTTTACTAGGACCAATATAACAAATTCATAAGAAAACTTCAAATCAAATCCAGTGGCAATATGTATAGAAATTAAAGAGCTTACAATAAAGGAAAGAAAGGGTAAGGGTAAAAGTAAGGGTAAGGGGAGGGGAGAGAAAGGAAGGGAAAACATGAAGGAAATGATATGAGTTGGGGACTGAATCCAAATTATTCAGCTTCATTAAACTCACTTGGTGATCTTGTCAAATAATTTGAAATATGTTTAGCGATTATATATTTTCATATTTCATGCAGAAAGGTGGCTAGTGATTTGAAGGGCTGAAGTGAAAAGAACATCAGTTAATATATTTGTTAATATTTTTGCTGTTACATTCTTTTGTCTTACAGGATTCACATGGTGGTTTTCATCAAGTATGGTTTGATGATCCCAGGAGTATTTCTCTGAAAACTGCCTATGTGAAAAAATATGGCCTGAGGGGTATCGGAATGTGGAATGCAAATTGTCTTGAATATTCTGGGAGTGTTGAAACACAACAAGAGACAGAAGAAATGTGGGATGCCTTGTTGCCAAAATAATATTTCTGTGTACACTGCCATTTTAAATTTAATCCTGTTTTAACTACGCACCATTTGAGTTTTAATTATACTGTATACACTTAATCTATTCTTGTCAACAAATAAAAGTTGCAGAATATATTCAGACCCCCTTTACTTTTGTCAGTTTTGTTATGCTGCAGCCTGATTCTACAGTTATTGAAATTCATTTTTTTCTTATTAATATACACTTAGTACCCCATAATGACAATGAAAACAGAATTTTAGAAATGTCTATAAATTTATTAAAAAGAAAAAACTGAAATATCCCATTGGCATAAGGATTCAGACCCTTCACTCAGTATTTTGTTGAAGCATCTTTGGAAGCAATTATAGCCTTAAGTCTTTTGGGGTATGATGCAACATGTTTTGCACACCTGGACTGGGGGATTTTTTGTCATTCTTCCTTGGAAGTCCTCTCAAGTTCAGTCAGATTGGATGGAGACCATTGATGGTCCCTCCAGAGATGTTCTATAGGATTTAAGACAGGGCTCTGGCTGGGCCATTCTAGGACATTCACAGAGTTGTCCCTAAGTTGTCTTGGCAGTGGGATCATTGTCATGTTGGAAAATAAACCTTCAGCCCAGTCTGAGCACTGTGGAACAGCTTTTTATTGAGGATATCGCTGTACTTCGCTCCATTCAGCTTTCCTTCAATCCTGACCATTCTCCCAGTCCCTGCTGAAAAACACCCACACAGCATGATGCTTTATTGTTGGGATGGTACTAAGCAGGTGATGAGCAGTGCCTGGTTTTGTCCAGACATAATGTTTAGAATTGAAACCAAACAGTTCAATCTTGGTTTCATCAGACCAGAGAATCTTGTTCCTCACAGTCTGAGAGTCCTTCAGGTGTTTTCTTGCAAACTCCAAGCCGGCTTTCATGTGTTTTGCACTGAGGAGAGGCTTCCATCTAGTCATGCTGCCATAAAGCCCAGATCAGTGGAGGGTTGCAACAATGGTTTACCTTCTGGAACTCTGTCCCATCTCCACACAGGAATTCTGGAACTCAGAGTGTCCATCGGGTTCTTGGTCACCTCTCTTACTAAGGCCCTTCTCCCCCAATTGCTCAGTTTGACCAGGCAATCAGCTCTTGGAAGAGTCCTGGTTGTGCCAAACATCTTCTATTTAAGAATTATGGAGGCACTGTGCTCTTAGGAACCTGCAGTGCAGCAGAAATTTTATTGTAGCTTTCCCCAGATCTGTGCTTTGCAATAAAGTACATAAAGTATTAACAAATTTTGTGAGGCCTTCTATAGAGAGGTGTGTGCCTTTCCAAATCATGTCCAATCAATTTAATTTACCACAGGTGAGCTCCAAACAAGGTGGAGAAACATGTCAGTAATGATCAAATGGGAGGCACCGGAGCTAAATTTCAAGAGTTGTTGCAAAGGGCCTAATACACTTACAGACATTTCTAAAATTCTGTTTTCACTTTGTCATTATGGGTACTGAGTGTAGATAAATGAGAAAAATAATGAATTCCAACAATTGTAGAAACAGGCTGCCGTATAACAAAATTGACAAAAGTGAAGAGGGTCTGAATACTTTCTGAATGCACTGTAAATTTAACTTTCTTACATTTGTTTGGTTTCTTCCATCCAACTAGTTTGGGTTATTATAGCCAATCCATATTCTGGTTGATTAATATAACCCAAGAATTATGAAAGCCCTAAAAATAATTGAATACCTTTGAATAATTGATTTCTTTTTTCTAATAACAAGTGTTCTTTTATCATCATCTTCCATCTCCAGCCTAAAGTTATAGCAGAACTGAAGTGCTCCTGAAGTGCTTCCTAATTTAAGCAGATTTCTAATCCAAACAACCCAGATGTGACATGAGGGAGAAGACTGAATAACAAGCACCCGAAGTGTGATGGGAGACATAAATAATGTCAAAAATCCTTTCATTGATCTTTATTTGGCCATCAGTATTGTATTCTCAAAGGCCTGATTTCTACTATCCTGAAAGAAAACTCAACTCTCTGAATCCAGAAGGGTCTCCCAGCTAGACAAGCCCCAAACTAGATCAAAAGGAAGAGTGGCCTAATTTCTATAGATGCCTTATGGGGTGTTTTAAACAGCTCTTTGATGTATTCCTTTTAGTAGCTATTGAGTATATCATATTAGCAGTCAAATGAAAATAGTAAGCAGAGGACATTGCTCAGAGGCCATTTAGAGTCTATCATCATCTGTTTTGTTTTTTTTTTTAACTCAGGTGATAAACTGAAAGATTGGAGTGGCATAACATGAAAGCTTTTCTTTGAACAGATATACAAAATGGAAGGGAGAGAAGAATATTAATGGTTAATATACTTCTTTATGCCTTCAAGTTAGTATGGATTCTGACAACTAAATGCTCAAGCAGGGGGTTTCCTGCTTGAACAGGGGGTTGGACTAGTAGAAGACATCCAAGGTTCCTTTCAACTCTGTTGTTCTGTTCTGTTTTATTCTCTGTATGAAGTCTATGCAGGGTTGTTTGGTTTTTTTTTTTTTTTTTTTACATTTGCCATAAGTGACTTGTCTTTGCCTTCTTTCTGTGGCTGAGAGAGAGTGACTGGCCCAAGGTCACTCAGCTGGCTTTGTGCCCAAGGCGGGGTTAGGACTCAGTCTCCCATTTTCTAGCCTTGTGCCTTAACCATTACACCAAATCGACTTTCATTTATTATATAGTAATAATTAAATGAACAAAAATGTTGTGTTGTAGTTCCTCTCAATGCCTTCTTTTGTATATAGTAAGCTTATATTGTATTATAATGCAATATAATTATTGTATTATAATATTATATATTGTTTTATAAAATTGCATTTTAACTGAAGTACTTGATTGTATTCAATTTAATCTGAAATAGAGCTTTTCTCTAAGTTTAAAGTTATATATCCTTAGAAAGCAAAAGAAAGAAAGGTGCTATTTGGTGCAAATGAAGTTCACATAAGAAAAAAAACTATATACAATTTTCTGCATTGTTACAACCAAAAAATTTGCAAGATTTCTTGTTTTATATAAGAATAGAAAACAGAGAATGTCTGGTTAATAATACTTTCCATGAAAATGATAGTTAAGATAATTATTTTTCCGTCACGTGAAGGTGATTGAATTCTAACCATAGATACCTAAACCTCTGAATTACATAAAGTATTAACAAATTTTGATTCTTATGTAATACTTGTGTTTTTTATAAATTCAGGGCCAGAGCAAATATTTATTTAGAAAAAGAGAAGCTAATGAGTTAAAGTGGTTTCACAATGTAGCAAGAGAACCATTCATGTGACAAAAGCAAAACATTAATCACATTTTAAGTCCGCTTCCTTAAAAACAGGCTTATTAGAGACTGAGGTTCATTGAGACTTGTTTGCTTTTAAATGGATCTCTTTTTTTTTTTTGCTACTTTGAAATGGAACTGTTGACAGTGCTATATTTATACCTTACAAATGAATTTGGATTTGATCAGTGATGATGAACCTATGGCACTTGTGCCAAAAGTAACACGTCACAAAGTTTTGGGTTGATATACCAGCATTCACCAACATCTATTTTCGAAATCGCACCTGATCTCACATGATTTGCAGAGACTATGGAGGCCATGTGAGAGTGGGCTATCTTTTGTGTGGCCTCTGGAACTTATGTGAGAGAGCTGTTTCTTGCGCAGCGTCTGCAGCCACCAAAAAATACAAGAATGGGGCATGTTTTCACACTGTTTTCAGAGGCTGCAGAAGTTATGAAAGAACATTATCTGAAACTGCTTCAAGAATAGAGGTCTTGTGTGACCTGGATCAGCCTCGGGTAGCTTCAGGGCCTGTTAACAGAAAAAGAGCACCTCCTGAAGATAGGTGGTATGTGGCAGACTCCTTGGAGAACAGTACAAGGTGGCTGTTTTGAGTGGCAGTGGTGGAGCTAAGGCTGAAGCTGATGCCTAGGCGTTAGGCCTTGCTCTGATGCTGCCATTGAGTATTGCTGTTCAGGATGGCATGTATGGTGAGGAGACAGAAAATTATTTCTCTTTTGTTCCTGGGTAATTTTGTGTGTGCGTGACATGCCAGAAAAGTCAAGTTAGGCATTTTCTGAATTTTTGACATGCCGAGCCCAAAAAGATTATCCACCACTGGACAGATTGATAAAGTTCTTTCCAAGTTAGCAAAGAGGTTCTGTTGCTTTCTAATAAATTTCCTCCTGTTCAAAAAAGCTGTATGATCAAAATCTGCCATTACTGCACAGCCCTATAGGGAGCCCATAGATACAAAATGAATCCCTGGGCTGCAGTTTAACTTCAGAGTAAAGTGAAGGATCTAGAATTAGTCTGGATTGGAATGACAGCAATGGTGTCAAAGTGTGGAAGTATGGCTTTCTATACAAACTGGCCAAGTGGGGATTTCTTGGTGCAGGATTATACTGCCCAGAAATTGACATGAGATATTTATTTTATTGGAAATCCAAAACTGCCACAACAACCTGTAATGAATGTAATTCTGTACAAAAGAATTCAGATAGAGCAGCTTTTCTCAATTGGGATTCCATGAGAGATATGATTGAAGAAAAATGAACATTTTTGGGACTTGAGCTTAATGTTGAATGTATAGCCTGGAAACCAGACTGTGTTCTAGGCCTTCCTTAAGTGTAAAAGCCTTTGGACCAATCACTGTCTCTCAGCCTAGCCCACCTCACAGGGCTGTTATTCTGGAAAAAGAGGCAGGAGCTTTAGGTATGTTAGTTGCCTTGAGTTATATATAAAAGAGCAGGATACAGATAGAATAATAATTCCATGGACTGTACAACGTTAAAACTCAAGAGTGGTAGAAATTCTTACATACCACAACGTAATTTAATTCTAATTTATTCCTCCATTTGCATGACATAAGATAAGCAATGGGTGATCAGGACTGTGGTGAACAGTCATCTCTTTCCTATCTTGGACTAACTTTGCACAAAATGCAGTATTGTACACCAAAGATTACAAAACACTTTAGTTTAACTACTCAAACATAAATCTCATATTAAGCTTTAGTGTGTGAAGTAGCTATTGCATGCAACCATAAATTGGTTTGTTTCTTTTGGGTTAGCTAGTAGCCCATGGCATCAGGGTTGCAATATTCTAACCAGCAGGACATTCAGAGTTTTCTGAATCAATTTGCTGCCACCTAGCAATAGATAAAAATATTGGTAAAGATACTGGTCAAGTAGCCAGGTGTTTTCAAATTCTCCAGAACCTAGGGCGTTAAGTTCGTGAACCAAATGGGGGTGCTGATGGCGGTATTTGTTCAGACTATGTGAACTCCAGGGTTATTTAATTGACAATATAGCAAAACCCAGGTGCCTTTGTTACTTGTGAACATTTATCACTTTTACTCTTTTCAAGCGAGGGAGAAAAAAATGGGTGGGGGATCCATGCAGTTTTCAAGCGTTCGAAGCGAATAGAATTGGCCCATCCCACTTTCCATAGCTGATTTCAACGCGGGGGTGTGGGGGGGGGGAGGCAGGGAAAGGACAAGAATGACCACAGTAACGAAAGAAACCGATTCCAAGCAGGAAAATCTCCTGGATGAAGCGGTTGCTAGGCGACGGGGGCGCGCTCCTCTGCCTCGCGCTCCTCCTTCGCTGTTGGCTCTTGGGCTCCAGCGCGTGCCCGTGCGAGCAGCCTGCGCTTTGCAAACCTATCTCGACTCAGTACGACTTCGAGGTACGCAGACGGAGGGTCTTCTGAAACGGAGCAACGGGGAATTCAAGGGCAGGGGTGGAGAGACACGTGTTACTGCCATCGGTCCCTCTCTGGTCTTCCTTCTGCAGCTGCTAAATAGGTTGCCTTGCACTCCACTTAATGTTTCTGAGCGGTCACTTAAAACGTCAAAAGTGCATCAGAGGAGGCCCTCGCAACTACTGTGGCTCCTCGCCTTTTGAAGCTGGGGCACAGCAGCTTTGTGTTCTTACAACGTGAGTAAGATTAATTAAGGATCTAGCATAGCAGCTGCGCTTGCCGGATCTGCTGAGCTTTGTTGGTATTAAACGTGTCAGGTATTTTTTGTTGTGGCTTAGAGAATCATGGGAACCTGATTTCTTTGATGGCTTCATGGTTCCAGGCATTGTTTGAAGCTAGATAGTGGTTTATGTAGTGTTCAGGGTATTATTAGAGTGGCGACCAGTGCTAAATCTCTAGACTTTGGGTAGATGGAAAAGATCCAATACTTGAAAACTGGCAAAGGACAGAATCTGAAACCTGTATTCAAAATACCGTTTGCAGCAATCCGACTTCATTTTGGACTGCTAGATTATAAAAGGTATAAGGGCCTTGTTGGTGAGGGATGGAGGACAGAGGCAATCCTAATACTGTTATTATATACAACTCATATTTTCCACTTGTTAACTGGATAAAGTCTCTTATAACAAAATGCTAGTGTGCTGGCAAAATTGTGGCAAAAGTCATATAAACACACCTTAGAATCTTTGTTATTAAATAGCAACTTCAATTCATTTAAAAAGTTGCCACTCTACATTTTACGAATTGAAAAACACAATTTTATATTTGATCATGATTCTTTATTATGGAATACATTAATTAAGGAATGTGCCTACCTGCCTATCTAATTCTATCTAATTCTAATGCTAAAAATTATCATGTCAAGAGTAAAAAAGTGGGGGAAAGAGATATTATTTTTTGCTGTGCCTTTCTAGGTCTTTGTATTTGATGTTGGTGGGAAGACCTGGAAATCTTATGACTGGACACAAATTACAACAGTGGCAACTTTTGGAGACTATGACCCTGAGCTTATATGTTATGCTCATTCAAAAGGATCCAGAGTTGTTTTAAAAGGTTTGTTTTATCCAGAGTAACATAAATTGTTAACAATTGCATTTTATACAGTTTGTTGGTATGGATCCTCTGTATTGTAGCCTTCTGAAGTCAATTAACTTTATTCCTTGGACATGTGCCTAATTATAACACATAATAATTATTCAAGAATTATGTCTTATTTTTCACAAGTTTATAGTGACTATGCCATCATTTTCCAGATAGTTCATATTCTCTATTATGTGAAACCCCTCCCCCCCAATAAATGGAAGATATGTTGACTGAATTGCCTTAGGAATCTATTTTAAATAGAAAAACATCCCACTGGTTTTTAAGTAAGTTTTGTCAAACAGGTGTCAATTTGGGTTGGCTGTCACCAAGCCAGTCTGTTCCTAAATAATATTAAATTGCTCAGCTCAGCATGATAGTTCGAAACACAGATAAAGTGTTAGAACAGCATTGATGAGACCACACTTGGAATACTGCATCCAGTTCTGTCATTGTGATACAAAAAAGATACTGAGATTCTGAAAAGTGCAAAGAAGAGCAGCAAAAATGATAAAGGATTGGAGGCTAAATTGTATGATGAATGGTTGAAACCTAAGTATGTCTTGCCTGTTGAAGAGAAGGATCAGGGCGGACATAATAACTGTCTCCCAGTACCTGATGGGCTGTCACAAAGAAGAGGAGATTGACTTATTCTCTAGGATGCCACAGGGCAGAACAAGAAGTAATGGGTGGAAGCTTGTCAAAGAGAGGTGCAACTTAGAAGAAATTCTGACAGTAAAATAATCAATGAAATAGCTTGCCTTCTGGGGTTGTGGTTGCTCCATCAATGAAGGTCTTCAAAAATAGACTGGACCACAACTATTTGACTATGATGGTATTAGACTCCTGCCCTGAGCAGGGGGTTGGACTAGAAAACCTCTGAGGTCCCTTCCAGCCCTATGATCTATGATTCTATAATAATTAGAAATAGACCATTCTCCTGAGTGAGGAAAAAAAGGAGCACTGCTGGTTTTAAGATGTTGGTTGCATCCTGCTATTTCCTTTCAAAAATTACTTATATTTTTCAAATTCTATAGACCTGTTATTCAAGAAATATTTTTAGCTACTTAAATGTGCTTTAAGCTCTAGAAACTGTTTATGATACATTACTCACAGATATTCTGTATTACAGGAGTCCCCAACCCCCCCCCCCCGGTCCGTGGACCAGTATCGGGCAGCAGCATGCCAGCAACTGGTCCACACAAACAAGCAAAGCCCCATCCATGAGATGCAGGCAGCACACAAAACCACACATCCTCCAGTCTGGAAAAACCTTTCTCCACAGAACTGGTCCCTGGTGCCCAAAAGTTTGGGGACCTCTGC